TATGTAAAGAGCAAATTTTTATGCAAGGTAAAGGTATGTAGCTCCTTTTCTTTCTGATCGCTTTATTTGCCGAATTGTTTTGCTGAAAGTAGTACTCCAGTATTGGTGGTATTGTAGCAAAGGAATTTTAAGAAATGAAGCAGTATTAAGTATTTAAAATATTAAATCTGAGTAATTAATGAGTTCCGTTTCGTTCTTCCTGTCACACTGAGATTCATACCGCCACTAACTAATTATCCAAAAATGTTAAATAAAATTTTCTTTTTTACTTGCTTTCGGCAGAGTTTGTATTAAAATATAATTTCCTCCTGCCTTGGCTCATTAGCAATTTGGACCGTCATTTTGTATCACCTCATGTCTTTTGCGTCTTGCTTTTCTTGCAACCCTGTCCTGTGTTTTTCGCTCAGCGTGTTTTTCCTCATTGCTGTCCAAACTATTTTTGTTAATGCTCATATCATCATCTACAGTTCACATAAAAGATTTTATGTCTTCATTAGTGTCTTCAATACACAAGTTTTCAAAGATTTCTAAATATTTTTTTCATTTGAGCATTGCCGCTGACAAGTTCATGCAATTCATTTTCCTTAGCAGAATTTTCACTGAAGGAACTCGAAATTGTAATTTCGAAGTCTGCTTTAGGAGAACAGTACCAAACACCACTTTGTGATACAGAATTGACAGCCTTTGTTATCCACTGAATGGCATTCATTACATTGATACATTCTGCACGCTTGTAAAGACATAAAGGTATTTTTTGGGAGCAGGAGAGATGAAAAATGAGCAAACGCCTGCACCGGGAATCGAACCGCTGACTTCTGGAATTCGCTACCAGCGTGCAGACCACCACACCACGAAGGCATACCAAGAAGGCGGGATACCAAGAAAGCTGATCGCTGATTCCGCAAGCAGCTTCGCAAAGAACATGTCTTGAAAACAGATTTCTATAATGTACCTTGAAGCTCTTAATTATACCTTGGTCTAAAAGCTTTAGTAGGTGTTGCATTAGGTGGAAAAAAACACTAATTGCACTGATTTCAGTTTTACATTTGGTGTGCGCAGGAAAATTGTCAAGAAATAGCAGAATCTTCTTATTTTTCTAGACATTGCTTCATCAAGAGCAGTCAGCTATTCTGACATTATGCTCTTCATCATCCATGATTTTTTATTGAGATTCTGATGGACTGATAAAGCTTTTGAAATGGTGTTTTCAAACATCTTGGTTTCTTTGTTTTTCCAGTTACAAGTGGTTGTTCAAACTTTCCTACCATGCACAGGAAAGCAGCAAGGTGAGAGGATTCTTTGGAGCTTTAACAACCAAAGCACTTCTCTCCTTTGAAGCACAGAATATTATTTGGCAAAATTCAATAATATAATCCAGGTTCATCTGAATTGTAGATGCTTTTAGGCCGATATCCTTCACAAATTTCATTTAACTTCTTTATCTACTCTGTTACATGTTGTATATCTACTGACTTTTCTTCACCACAAATAGTATTAAAAGCAATGATGTGTCTTTGTTTAAATTGTCTAATCAACCGTTTGATGCCTTGAAATTCTGTAGTCCCAGACTTTCCGTAACTTCTTTTGCCATTTTTTTGCAATAATACTCCACAGGAATATTATTTGCTCACATAATAAAGAAACCAGTTTAACACTACTGTACCAATTACACATGCTTCAGTTTTTGTAAATTTTACAGTCTTAAAATTTCCATCTGAATTAGTACTCCATAATATTTTTATTTCTTATCTATCCTTTAGCACGACTTACTTGATTTCTACTTATTCCAAATTTCTGCCATAAATCTCTTAAACTATGCTATTCAAATTCTGTTACATGAATTACATCAACTTTTGTTTCAATATTTTCTTTTCCTCTTTGAAGCCATGTTATTTTTTACATGCGCTATCTAGCATAACGTATATTTGGGGTACAAAAGTGGCGTTAGCGCCGGAGCTTGAATCCGAGTCCTTCGGTCATAACACCTCTTCTACATCTAAATATACGTTATGCTAAATAACGTATGTAAAAATATCGTACAAAACTATGCTTCTTTTGCTCCCCAGTCCTAGTATGAAGTAAGAATAATACAAGTTTTCAGTCTGCCCCAATTGTGAAATCCTTGCGTCTTGGCAGGTGAACCAGTCATCTCACCACCTTTTTTTCCCAACTGATTGCTGTCTTGGATTGATTTACTAATTGCTAACACTTTACTAATTGCTACCTTTTCTTCCATTATTGAGAATTATAGCAAGAATAACTAGATTTTGAATACTATAAATGTGAAATATCCTTTAGATTGCATCATTTTCCGAGCGTATTGTTCCTCTTTTCTCTGCTGAAAAGTAGTTTTCCAAACAGAGGGATTAACTTTTCATTTTAATGTTCCCTTGTCACAAAACTATCTTTCACTGCCTTTCAAACCTCAATAGATTATTAACAAAGGGTATTTCAATTTTTATTTATTTCTCTACCTCTATCCTATTTTTGAAACTTTTTTTCAGAGTACCTTAAATACAGTGTTCCTTAATAAGAAGAGGTAACCACATTACGATCCCTATACAAAGGAACCGGGAACACCCTAACTATCCCTTAAATGAAAGGATCCCTTACAGCAAGGACTACTGTACTATCCAAAGAATCTTGGTATACTATCCTTCTAGTAGTATAGACCTAAATATCACGTTTCACCTGTTGAACATGTTTTACCTGGTAGTATCATGGGTATCTAGACACTTTGTTCACTTACTGATATAAATATTGAATATATTTTACCTTAAATGAAGTTATTACTCATTTCTAAGAATACTTGTTCATGTTATTTCGTTTTTACGCATCTAATTCGTGCTTATGCATCATTCGTTAATATGAGAAAAAGTAGCCTACACTTAAATGTGTAAAGTAACAGAAACAGAAAAAATTTAAAAGTGCCCTAAAAATAATATAATTTCACAGCAAAAAAACTGTTAAGAAACGGTTATACCATTTGCTCACAAATTTTTCAACGTAACAGGCATGCATTCACAGCAATGCATAACATTTCAACCTTCTTCGCAATACATAAATGGTAAGTGTTCTTTTCTTTTGCTTTACCTTCACTATGTCCGAGTGCTTTGCTTAAAACTACTAAATACGATATTAATAAATAGTTTTTTCTAGGGTTTGATTCTTAGCAAAATGGGCTGCTGGCATCGGCGATTTCGGGGCTTTTCCTCTTCTAAAAGGTCTGCCAGTGGCTGACTAGATGAAACCGCTAAATACTATAGTCTATTATTTTTAGAATAGGCACTTCAGGAATATTTTCTTTTTCTCTGTTTGCCTTGTAACCGTGGTAACGATATCTGCGGTTAGATGTTCCAGACCCATAATTTTTTTTTTTTTTAATTTCTTTTCCGTTTAGCGCATTTGCATCACGAAAAGTGCACGAATGACCACAGTCTTAAAGACTTAAACCACAGTTTCAAATGCGATGCAGAAAATGAATGCTGTGTACTGATAACGACAGCTATCACGACTGAAAATAAGTGAGGGTCGAAAGGCCTTGAAGTTCCTATTTTAAAGCAACAAGCTATAATAGTTTTGTTAGGTTTAAATTCCACTGAAAGGACTACCTGCAGGCGGTTATAAAGTTTTCTATGTGTAATGTGAATACGAGATATTTTTCTATCAAGAAAATCCTACCCAAAGGCACCCATTCCCTTAGACAGGTAAAATTAGTTTGCTTTACTATAGAAAAAAAACTTTCAAACATCTTTTCCAATATAAGCTTAAGTACAAGCCAATGTCACTGAGAAAATTTCGGAAAAAGAAGTTAGTTTGTAATTGGAAATGTACGCCTAGAATAAATATTTAAGAAAACAGAACTTATAGTCCCATTAATCAAACACCTCGTAGATATAGTACATGTGAAAAAAACCCCATAATTTCAGGTAAATTCAGGGGACTTCAGAAACTGGAGGCATAAAAGGATTGTACTCTGCAAGTTTTATTTCAAGTTTGACTCAATGTAAAATTAACGGATTGCTTGGGATAGTTATTAGCGTCCTTGCTTATGAAATCGCTCATGATGTCTCTTCATTGCAGACCATTTTTTCCGTTTCGGTCTAATGTTTAAATGTTGTCTGAGATAAAACAATGATAAATATGAATCTGAGAATCCCTGAATCCCCTAAACCATGCACGAATCCCCTCCTTTGGAGGAATTTCGCAGTTTCAGGGAAAACGGGGACAACATTTTGTTTCTGTTAAAAATTTAGATTTACGTTATGAATATGAAAAACTACTTTTATTCAAGTTTGAATATTTATCAACATTTTCTACACTTTTCGTGTTTTAATTAATGAAACACATTAAAATAATCCAAATATAAATCTACGTATTTTTCAAATTTTGGGAAGGAAAGGGATGATGCTGAAAGGGGTAAATGGGGCAAAACAGGTTGACAACCACTACCCTAAGCCTTAAGACTTATTAGATGCTCTCACTTTTCCAAGATACACTACAGTCACAAACATTTCTGTCTTGTCTAGTCAGCTTCTTCGAAATTAAAGCAAGGAAATAAAACACTCCTTAATTTCATTCAGCAAAATATTCGAAGATTCATATAATCTTTAGTGCAATCTGTCCGTCTCATCAAATTGCCCTTCCCATAGCAACATGCTTTCCTGCAATTAAGTAATTTCTGTAAACTGCGACAGTTGACTATCAGTTATTGATAAAACAGCTGTGAAATTTTCTTCACATTTTTTTTAATCTTTTGAAGAATTCTTATCAACCAAGTTAGCATAAAAGTGAAGAAGCAGTATTATAGACCCTGCAAGGAGCTGTAAGCTATCCAAGTATCTAAGGTATGTAATTATCCAGTTATAATTACTTAGAACCACTCGGTTGTGCAGAACTTTGCCAAATATTCGAGAACTTCATGAAAAGGATGATATAGAGAAATTGTTGTTTTTATGCGAAACCTAGTGTAAAAAGTAAATGAAACTGTATTTCATTTACGTTTTCGCATTTGCTTTTTTTATGTTAGCAAATAATTTATAGTGAACAACATTATTCCAATTAATATGTATATTATAGATCTTATTGTGGAATACTTTTCGCAGAATCCTGATCTGTAACAATGCTGCGAAAACTGCTTTTCCTGTCTTTCGTGCTTGGTAAGACCTTTACACCTCTTGATTATAAAATTATTGAACTGTATTTATTTGAAATTTTCCTGCAGGTTCACTTGCATGGTGGATGATTTGTGCATCAGTCCGGTTATAATAAACACATAAACAAAACTATAGCTCTCTCTAACTCTTTTTAAATAAGCAATCTGTATCTAATTGAAATTTCTTAAGAGGAAATATATTTAGTATTTGCTCTTAAAGGAATCATTGCTAGTGCCAAAATGGGCATAATATTCTCCGGGTGAAAAAGCAAAATTCATTCAAATCATGGTCCTGCTTAATACACTACGGAAATTTTCTCATTTAGTTTGAAACTTTCCGAGGAAATACTCAATTCAAAAAGTATTTTCTAAGTTTGAGCCTAAATGAATAAATAACTTCAATTACTAGACTGATAATAAAACGTCCAATAGGAAGAAAATACGAAAATGCAAAACTTAAATTAGACAAAGCAGCAACCTTAGTTTTGCGCAGATTTTGAATAAAACTCCTTCGATTTCGAGGGCGATCAGACAAAAGTACCCAATTTTTAGGAGCAGAAAAAATATTTGCTAAACTAATTTAAAAAAGAGAGATAGTAAATACGAAAAACATGAAATAGGAGGTGGAAAAACGGTTAAAATACGAAACTTCGTCAATCAAAGAAAATTAAAAAAGAGTATCAAATTTAATTAAATATCAAACAGGATTAAATGATTAGTGCTTAAATGTAAATAAGACTGGATTGAAAAACTGTTCAAGTTCCGAGAATGAAAGAATCTAGCTTCGATGTAACATGGCGATTCAGAGAATAAAACGGCTCAAAGAGCAAACGAAAAAATGTAAGAAATTTAAATCAGAAACTTGGTTTTGCAATTTTTTCATCGTTTCTCTTTTCTTTTTCACCTGCTGTCTTGAAAAAGTTTGAAGAACATATGTCTGATCGCTTTTGAACTCTATAGAGATTTATTCAAAACCTTCTTCAAATTAAGGTTGATTTTTTGCCTAATTTTAATTCAGTTAATGAAATTATCTTCCATTTATTTGTAGGTAAGATGAAGGTTCTTAAATGCTCTTTTGCAAATTATTTAATTTGTTATGCTACTTTTATCAGTAGGTTTTTCACACAAAATATTTCATTGTATGATTTAATACCAAATTTGCACCTCAGGTATTTGCTTTCAGAAGACTGCTTTCAGGATCAGATTAAGAATTGGTTTAAGACTATTATTCTTAAATGAAAGTTTGATTTCGTTTATTTGGCTTATGGCAAAGCTCTCGAGGGATATCTGCCTAATGGGAGAGCTGCCTTTCTTGTAGGTTATTTTAAGGGGAACTGTCTCTTATACACGTTACACATGTAAAAGCAACAAAAAAAAAACAAAAAAAAAAAAAAAAAAAAAAAAAAACGCCCATGCACCCAGCCCCTTCACCGGTATTCGAACCACAAACCGAGCTACCAGTGTTCAACAACTTTACCGCTCGGATGCTGGTGGGCCTCTTAAATAAAAAGAGTAAACTTCAAATTCTACCGATTCAGCAGAAGCCAAACTACCATCTCGGGTTAGGATCTGTTCCTGGTGTTTGAAAAGAGCTAGCTTTATGAGATAAAGAATTTTTCTGTCTCTAACATAAAACTGAACCAACTATTTTTAGAAGTTCCTCCACCGAGGCATTGCTTCCCATAGATAAAGCCAATTATTGTAGAACTCAAATAATCTAAACCCATAGGCAGGTAGAGTGTTTCGTTATTTGCCATAATTAACTTATTGGCCACAAATTGCTTAACTCATTATATGCATTCAACTTATCTCAAAGCTACTGATGTTCATTAGGCGTAATTTATGGGGGGACTAATACACATTTCCTAGTTAGAACTTTTTTAATCTCCTCTCAAAATTAAAATAATAATAATAATAATAAACATTGATTAAGCCAGCTTAGACACAAAATGATGCTGCAAGAATATATTTTTCATTTCTCCACAGTAATTTATTTCGTCTGCAGATAACTGGGCTCACCAGTGATCAGGATATTAGCAGTGAATGCTGGTAGTCCATTCATGAGGTTTCTAGTTGTTTTTTCGGTGTATAACGTTGAATAAGAGAGTTGGATTACTTAAACTGAGGAAAAGCACTCAAAAGCCACCTGACTAAGAAGAGAGGTGCCTTTGTGGAGGACATTCTAGGAGAAACTGGCTCGTATTCGCGTTATATATGTATAAAACCATAAATTCTCCCATGCAGCCAGCCCGTTCACAGAAGGGTCGAACTGCCAGCGTTCAACAATTTTAAAACTCAACCGCTGATGGGCCAAGTAGAAGTTAGAAATTCTTACAGTAAAGGTTTACTTTCTGAAATAGATAATGTTTGTATGCTTTGCTGTAAATAAATAATACAACCTGCACTAACCTAATCTAACCTGCAAACAACTGATATAAAAAAGCAACAATGACTATTCAAAAATTTAATGATATTCTCAGGTCCTTTCTTGAATTTCTTTTGTTATCGCTCAATAGGTAGCTGGGCACAAGATCTGAAATTTTGTTCCAAATTAAATTCTCAAGAGCAATCGAGTAAAATTTTCAACTGTATAGGTACCTGCTATGCCATCAACTAAGATCTTCCAAGATCATTATTTTCCTATCAGTAGTCAGTAAATAAAGGCAGTCACTGTGCTACAAAAATTTTTCAATAAATGTTTTGGTTCGAAATATTATAAAGTCCTGTGTAACAGATATGTAATACGAGTAAAAGGCGCCGCAGTTAAAATATCATTTTCCAGACATCATATTTTGGAGCTATTCTAATCACCGACTTTAGGTTTTATTGCTTAATTAGTTATTTCGAAATGGACAAGCATACGAGGGCTGTATGCCTGCGGGCAGGAATGTCTTCGTGGAGCAATTTCTGAGCAAAGCTGGTTCTTATTCGGGTTACACATGGGGAATCCAAAGAAAAACACCCATGCAGCCAGTCCTTTCGCCTAACTTCAAACCCGGATCGGACAACGAGCATTCAGCTGTATTAACCACTGATCCAGTGGTGATGCCTGACTGCAACATATATATATATGTATATGTAATAAAGCAAAATTAGATGCAATGATGTTGTAGAATAAATTGGTGGCATAGATGTAGAAATACGAAATACTGCATTTAGTAGATATTCATCCGTAATGAAGAGCAACTTAACAGCCGAGACAGGTTAAATATTCAGGAACCTGCTCAAAGTATTCAAAATTCATTTTGAATTTGCGTTGAAGGGTCGTTTAATAAATAAATTAGGGTAATTCGAGGTTGATTTTTTTCCTCCCCTTAATTGCCATTTAGTGTTACTCTTTTGTAATTTGTTTGTGTCTTTATATGTAATTTTGTTCCATTTGTTATATACAAAAAAAAAAAAAAAAAATTCACTCAATGTAATTCCTAAGCTTTCAAAATCTAATTCTTCGTTACTAATATTCTTATGAAGTTTTATTACATTAGAAGTATAATCTCGTCATCGTAAAATATTGAGTAAAGTACAAGTATATTTTATTTTTAATTAATGCAAATAATATTATGAGATGGATACACGCCGACACTAAAGAATGCATATTGGAGTCGAACCTTTTGTGTTTTATTTTTTGTAAAACGTAAAATTTTTTTCTAAACAAGTATAGGGAACAGAACTTCTAAGGACTACGATAGTTCTTCTCAAATCGGCATCACTTATTTTCAGAACTGAAACACATAATTTGAATGAATGGGTTGCTTATAGAAAAGCAAACTGTTTGGTTATTCGCAAGCTGATATTCAATGATTTAACCTTTCAGTGGTATCGCAGCTGGACATATTGCCAAACGAATTCATAGCATCACAACACTGGGTGGATGGCTTCCTTCAGGTTCATTTAAAATGTTAGATTCCATAATCATCCACTCCATAATTTTTTGAAAAAAATTATTTCATTAAATTTTAAAATGCCAAAACAAAAATTTGTGTGTCATTTAATAGATTTTTGTAACTGGAAGTATAGGTCCACGATCAATCTTATAAATTTATACATTGAAAACAAAAGATAAAAATTTATCGTAAAAGAATGCAAATAAAAGTAGACTTCAAATTTCGTGAATGAATTAGAACAAAAGTCAATAACCTTTCGCTGAGAGTGACATTTGAATGATTTTTTTTTTTCAAAATTTTAAATCTAAATGAAAATTAAATTTTAAAGTTAATTAAATTCATGAAAAACATAAATATATACACAACATAATAAAGAATCTGAAAGCTTTCAGATTTTATATTACGCCCCCAAAGAGCCTTTTTTTAACGTTTTGTGTGTTACCTTTATTTATTAAATATGTTCTTCCAACTTAAACCATAAAATTCAATTTAATAGCAATATCGAAAAATAATTTGAAAAGAGTATATCTTTAGAATTTCCGATACACAGGCTAGCGAGCTGGAGATAAAAATGTTTTATTTTTCCGTACAGTGTTGCCATTGCTCGCTTTGAAATCGTTGAGTTTCTTGATTAAAAACTCATAAATGCTTTACAAAATATGAAAACGATAATGAAACAAATTCTAAATTCCAAATTTGGGCTTCCCGATGCCCATATTCGTCTGGAGACGTTCGTTATTCAAAATTTGATGGCTCTAGGTACCGTTGTTTTATCACAATGAGAGAAACATACATACATTTATGCAGATTCTCCATTGTTTAATTTCTTTAAATATAATATAGGGCGGTAATATTTGGTGGTAACAATCTGGAATGTGATTCAGTCAGACTTTTAAAGTTTTCGACTCGAAATGCCAAATGAAATTAATAGTTCTTCTAGGTTAACCCCCCTTCGGCTAATAAACAGAATATAAAATCATATGTAAAAGATAGCCATCGAGGCTTTGCCATAATCACACACATACACACATATATATAAAAATTCAGTTCATTATTTAGTAAATTGCTGAAAATTGTTACTGTAGCTTAATTTGAAGATTACTTTTCTTGCATTGAGACGTTTTAATTTTATTCTAATATTTTTTTTTTCTGAGTGTTCTTATAAAATATTAATTTTTACCGAGCATTAAATTGTCGGCTTACTTTTGGGTAATGTTTTGATGCTGTTTAAAAAAAATCGATCATTCTTCGAACATTGAATTAAATCAAATTTATTTTTTTAAATTCGTTTTTATCATTAAAAATAAAATGCTTCAATTCACAGAGTTGTAGAAATCAGGGGAGTTGTTTCAAAGTATATTTACGATATTAAGGAATTATCTATGTAATTGTTAGCAATAAATTATTTTATTATTATATATGAGTCTTATCAGTTCTTTTAGAAGCTAGACAGAAGTAAATTTGACCATAATATTGCTAAAAATTTTAAAACACTCATACTTCAATCAACTTTGAAAGATTTCCTGCATGAATGCCATTCTTATGAAAAGCATTTATCTCAGATTCAGCTTAGTATGATTTTTAAATTTCCGGGTGTTAGGACTTGTTCAACACTAGTTTTCATTTATAGCATTTTTTTCTTATAAACAATTGCTCTTGCGATAGAGTACTGAAAGTGTTTTTTAATTTAATCCTGCAGTTATAAGATTTTAATTTAAACGTAGAACAAATAATCATAAGTATACTTCAAAATTTCAAAGATATTAAAAACATAAATCAATAAAGGGAAGTCATCATTGAAGTTTTTATTTTAATTATTATACTTTATAAAATCCTTACTGAAATATTTATATTAATTTTTGTTCTTCAGGTGTCGCCTTCGCTGGCCATTCTGCAAACCAGTATATTGATAATGTGATCCGGAAATGTTTACCTCCTGCCATTAGAGATTTGGGTCTAGACCCTCTGCTATTATCAACATTCAGTACTCGGTTTGGTCCATCAACTGTGTACCAGTCGCAAGGTGAGGCCACTTTCACTGACGGCAAAGCAACTGGATTGGGAAAACTGGAGAGGGTAGGAGATTGTTCTGGGCCCTCCATGTACCAAGGAGAACTCTCTATAAACTGTACTCTTAGAATTTACAGCATCAATCTATCATATCAGGTTACAGTTCGGAATAGTACCCACTATTACCATGCAAGAGCTGGTGGAAATGTCCAAGAAACTAGATTTAACTTGGAAATCATTGGACGGCCTCAAAACTATATTGGTGTTGTGAAAACTTACCGACTTGTTAAACTTGGAATGGTAAATCCTGCTATCAACGGGCTTCCCACTTCGCTGAATAAGTATTTGAAGGTGTTATCTGACGCATATAAAACGCATGTATCTTCTGAGTTATTTAGTGCATTCCAGTATAGATATTCATATGCTCTAGACAGAGCTTTTGCACACACGCTAATGCCAAGGCAATAAAGTATAACCAGAAAGTTTAATAAATTTTTTTTAAAGTAGATTTAATAGTTTCACTCCATACCTTTTACAAATTTTGAAACTACCATCCAGAACTTTACCAACATTAGGCTATAAATCATGTCAGTTTAAGATTGAAGTAATCAAGTTATTCATATGAATTAAATCTGCACAAAATCTTGTTTCTAGTAATGCAATTTTTCATTTATGACAAAACTCTTACTTAGCTATGAAAAGTAGTCAAAAGAAAACAAATTAAAAGTAATTTGTTCAAATATTTCTTGTTCACAACAGACTATAAACTACCGTTGTTCCTGTTTAAGAGTCTGTTTATTAAACAGAAAAGGAGAACCGATAACATTAAAACACGCTTAACGTTACAAATAACTTTAAAAAAAGAAAATAAATTGTTCTGTCCACTTTTGCTGCAGTTTAAATAGATATTTAAATTACGCTGGGAAACAGTTTGTAACACAATTTCTGTTGAATTCGATTGAGCTGTCTTAGAGTTAAAAAAACATGCTACTTTCAAAACCGTAGTTAGTTTCTTCTACCACATCACGTTTTTTCTCTACAGCTCAAGCGAATGTGACCACTCTCCGCGGCATCGAACGCGGATCATAGGAAGTGCTACTGCTCTCCTAAATGGCTGACACAAACTCTCCGATTGGCGGCAGGTGATCGATATGATCCTGCGGTTGCCTCTTCTAAAAAGCGACCCAGAGCAATCTTACAACCTGATTATGCTCAACTACCTTTTAAACGGCGTCGGTATTGGAATACAGACGCCCAAGTGGATGCTTACCTATCGTTCCTAAACTCTTTAAGAAGAGTCTTCTAACGTTTCTTTAACAAGAGACAACTTATCTCCGCAGCCGCACGCGACTGCACTTAATCTCTCAATAGCTTCTTAAAAGCTTCTTTTCCACCCGCTAAACGGGTTGCTTTCGACCCCCCTAAGGGGGCCTTTAAACGTCGCACTAAATAGCGACCAAAAATTTTCTTCTCCTCCATCAGCTGTATCACATTGAACTGCTACTGGAATCCGCCCAACGGGTTACCCCCCCCCCCCCCCCCCCCAGCCCTTTTTGCCCAACTCTCCGGATTGCTTGTCCTAAGGATTTTATTTTGCTGTTGATATCAAGAATCAAGGAAATGTATTGCACCTTTTTATTCTTTTCAAAATTTTCTGAATGTTGACTCCTCTCTGAAAATTTATTCCTGGCCCTTTTTAAACACGAAATCTAATTTAAAGACTTTCTAAGAGTTTTCCTTTTTTCTCATGCGGAAGGCATTATCTGAAAAGCTTTTATTTTTATAATTAGGCTTCAAAATTTTCCCTTATTAGATGAACCCCTCTTTTGATGTAATTGTTTCATCTCTGATGATGTGGAGTTAAAGGCCTAGCCCAGCGCACTCCGTAAATTAACTTCCTTGATCCTTGATTGGCGGCAGGTGAATGACACCGCAGAAGATCAGCGACAAGTGCATACTTGTCTAGACTAGTTCAGTTACGCCTTAGATAGTGTAGTCAGTCATGGTGTGTCGCTCTGATATAATGAAGCGCATTCCGAGTTCTTGTTTATATACAGGGTTAGCAGTGTTTAGTTTTTATTTATGTATGGATTGAAGCTTCTCCTTATGTCTTCTTCTGTTAGTTCGCGTCATAAGTGCTTAAACAGCCCCGATTCCTTTTATTATGCATGTGGAAGTTCTACCATTTCCAGTCAGAGGATAAATATCAGTGCATTTGTCAGGAAAGTTTATTTCGCATATTTTAAGGTGAAAATTGGTGACAGTGTGTAGAGAAATTATGAATCTGGGTGAAGGAAACACACTCTAAATTTCCATTTGGTGGACCTATGAATTGGCAAGATCCCCTCTCAAGTGATTGTTACTTTTGGATAATGGTGTGTGTGTGTGTATTTAATTATGGCAAAGCACACTAGGGCTATCTGCCTAAGGGGAGGGATGCCTTCGTGGAGGACTTTCTAAGGGAAACTGGCTCGTACACACGTTACACATGGGGAAAACCACGAAAACACCCATGCAGCCAGCCCGTTCGCGTGATTCGAACCTCGGACCGAACTACCAGTGTTCAGCGACTTTACCGCTCGGCCGGTTTTTGGATAATGAAACCAATAGGATATAACATGAAAAACAAATGTAAAATAGGGTATCCTAGTTTTGCCCAGTGCCTCAACTGAACTCATAGTGCCAGTTTTCAAAGAATTACTCTTTTTGGAAATACAGGAACATGATTTCTGATAAATATCGAATTGACCCCAAAGGCTTGATTTTGAAACTGAAGATGATTCCGTTCATAAGAGATTTGAGCAACATGAGTTGAATGATTTGGCACGAGATTTAAGACTATCCAAAAACGCTTCAGGACTGTTAACATCAAGACTGCGCCAAAAAATGTGCTTCAAAGAGGAACTAAGCTATTCGATCAAGAGAAAGTGCATTTCTGCAATACTTTCGAAGTGATGATGGATTTTGTATACGTAATTTAATAGAAGAGTTGGGAATTTAGCCTATAACGCAGCTCAGTGGCAATGTTCCTTGATAGCTCATAGTGAAGCTTGAAGTATGTCTTCGTCCACAATGGGAATTTAGTCGGTGCAGTCCCAATAGGCCATTCAATTTGTTTGTGTGACATGAAAACACATAGAAAATCACTTGTTTGTTGCAATATCTACATGCACCAATAGATCATCTAGGTTGACCTTAAAATGGTCTGCTTTCTGTTGGCCAGCAACGTACATAAACCAAAAAAATTGATTTGGGAGAAGAAGTAAAGCTTCAACAACACCAAAGTCACGAAAAAAATTGAGTCGAAAATGTGTAAGACGTTGATAAGTTTTACAGGCGTAAAGCACTTGAAATTGATTTAGGAATGCGATTCAAAACCAGCAGCACCATCTGAGAACCTGTGAGAGCACTATATTGAATGCATTAAAAACATGACGTCTGTAAAATAAATTTTTATTTCTTAAATATTAAGAAATATCTGTAAGTTCCCTGCTTTAATTTCGTTAAAAATCAATTTCATGACATGAGAAGGTAATAAAAAAATTGCATGTAATGAACGATTGAATGGAAACTTTCACTGGAGCATTTTACTGTAAAATTATAACTCAGACTATGAAAGTATCTCAGTATGAAGTTTTCTTATGAAATGCAGATTCTATGCCTTACTTTTTTAGACCCAACTGCTGTCCATAATTTCTAAAAAATCAAATCCATCAGTTTTTAAACATGATAATAATGCCAGCCACAAAATGGCCAATCCTAGAAATCTCCTCCTGTCAAGAACAATATAACATCTAACAGAAGCAATTTTAAATTTACTCCTATCTTAAAAACCTATTTGCTCGCAGTAATTCTCGTTTGCTCACGTGTGCCGTCCGACTACAGCGGCAATTCTGTGGGCATGCTATAAAAGTTAATCTTATTCCGAAATAATCAAAAAGACAAACCCCAAAAATGTCATAGAATTCTTTTGCACGATGAGGGAGCTCGAAAGCCTTTTCAGAAGCATTAAATTAGCCTAATTAACATTTCTTATTAATAACAACTTATCAGGTATTTCTCCCGCCATCTTAGCACGCCTTCGTTGTGTAGTGGTCAGCACGCTCGATGCGTTTTAGAGAGGTCCGTGGTTCGAGTCTCGGCGAGGGCATTGCTCATTTTTCATCTCTCCTGCTTTGAAATAACCTAATGTGTCTACACTGGCATCCGAACTAAAAAGGGGGGATGATGACTCTCCACAACCAGGATTTGGTGATTGGGTCCCCTAATCCCAGTTGCCCTTTTAAAAGGGGGGAGTATATAAGGTATTTCTCCCGCTTTCTTAGCATGCCTTCGTCGTGTACCGGTCAGCACACTCAGCGCGTATTCGAGAGGTCTGTGGTTCGATTCCCGGCGGGAGCATTGCTCATTTTTCACATCTCCTGCTATGAAATAACCTAATGTCTCTTCAAACTTGCTGAATTCTACCTATGTCTTAGTTTAACTACGTTTCCAATGTTCCACTAGGTGAGAGGTAAGAACCGCCTTTTTCTCCATATACCCAAAAGCAAGCGGTCAAGGACGCTGTCAGTATTTGGGAGGGTGAACACTGGTGAAGGCTTACTGAGCGCTTCGCTTTACCCTCAGGATTCTTTATTTTTTAATGATAAATGTTCTATCTATTTTTTATTTTTGGAAATTTATTACCACAGACATTTAGAATGAAGGCATAATTTAAAGCAGTATTACATTACAGATAGTAATATAATAGTAACCATTTATTAAATGTCTAAGTAGGAAAAGGCAAAAGGCAAAATTTTCCTGTAAAATTAAAAAAAAAAAAAAAAAAAATCATATGCGAAGCTCCCTGCAGAATAAAAATTTCGAGTATAAATAACAGCAAAAGCAAGTTCTCAAATAGCAGAGTTATGCTTTGTATTTCACTAGCATTTCAAGTAGAATGAATTTTGCCTGCACATTGTGCGTTTGCTTCAATGCATACTGCTTCGATTCGAAAGTCGCCTGAAGCGAGCGTGGCTGTTTTAAATTAAGTCTACGAAAGATTGCATTCTCCCATTCGTATTCTTTGGATATACTAACTAACCCTGTTTTAATTTTTTAAATAGAGTAAAGCATGCAAGGGTTCATTTACCTAAGGGGAGAGACTTTTGAAGAAAAACTGACTTTTTGAGTGCGTATTAAAAATAATGCATGTAATATTTGATAAATTATTGTAAATTACTTTACTGATAAATATACTGAATGCAAAGGAAATAAAGATTTGTACATGTCGAAAATGAAAAATATTAAATATATATGAGTACTTAAGCATATCCTTGTAAAAATATCGTGCATTTGCTTTTAACTAATGTAATATTTATGTTATCATTTATAATTGTATTGGAAATGAAGGATTTATTCATTCATAAACTCCTGTGAGTGTTACTGATAAATCTAGTCATTAAATATATCTAAATTTATAATGATTATAAATATTCTAACTATATAATGACTTTAACATTTAATTGCAAGCAGCAATTAAAATTCTGTTGACAAATACATTTATAAATCTATTTAAGCAAGAAGCTGCTCAGACGGGATTGTGATTAGGGGAACCTGACTGCCATACCGGGTTCGAATCCCGGAGAAGGCATTGGATGTAAAATTGTCTGTCCCTTCATAGGAGGTATCGGTGGCCGTCTATTAGGCGCCTCTACAATAAAATGGCCATCACTTTTGGCCGTAGGAGTGGCCAATGCCGTTATAGGCAAGTGCTCGCCATTGGGAGAAAAAATTATGCAAGAATTGTTCGTACCGAAAAACAATCAATTAAAAGGTATTGTAACGCTGAGTCTATGAGACGCATTCACGTGACAACTGGTCACACTCCCCCTTGCACCTTCAATGCGGTCTTCTGGAGCCACAGTCATTTAGTTTTGCATATAATAGGTAAAGGAAATGTCAGTGGCAACCCTCTTGCTTAGCCAAATTTGGTGTCGTTTGAATCAGTTGGTTATCAATTGCGGTCAGTGTTTCTGCCCGTGAGTTGAGTCGGTGAAACTGTCGTATGAATACGTAAGCATTTTGTGAATTTGGTTAATCTTTGGATTATGGTAACTTGGCGATTTTTGGCGAAAATTTGGCGACCAACTCTGCTACAGCAACCTGCTAGTTTTTGTTTGGACGCCATTTTGTTTTCACGAAGTAAAGGCATTTTTTTTTTTTTTTTTTTTTACTCAACATTTTTTTTCCAACAATCTGCTAGCCGAATTACGCTTATGCTAGAACTTTTATGGAACAAAAGTGCTTAATCATGACGAAGATTAGGTGCGAAATTGGGACAAAGTGCAGAATCGCCAACTGCTTGCCGCATTTTTAAGAATTGCACATACACGGTATCATCCATGCACATCGACCTATTTTCACTTAAAAAAAAATCCCAGAATTGCACAAAAATGGCATTGTGCACACTCTTGACTTTATCCATGTACACAGCTAAAGTCCTAGCTAGTAACCTTTATCGCCTTACCAAAATGTCGCCAAACTACCTGTTACCATATTCCAAAGATTAGCCGTGAAGGTATTTGATTATTATTTTCATTTTTACACAAGTATTTTTTAATATAAAACCACTTAAACTGAAAATCATATTGACATGATTATATAGATATCAATTTGTTAGGCATCAAACTGGTGACAGCGGGAATACGTTGTGCGAAATTGCACAATAATCGCGGCTTAAAGAATGTGTGCTGTTGAAATCAAGGGTCTAAAAAATTTGGACATGTATTAAAGAATTGTTTCCTCTCGCATTTTGTAATAATTCAGTTTCAAATTTTAGTAATTAACCCTTTTATTTAACCCTGTCAGAGATATTCGTAGAAAGCTAAGTACATGGAAATCGGAAATTAGCAACATTATGTAACGCATTTAACTATTAAAATAAAAGGTCCTCCACTTTGAAATTAACCAAACAGATCATTAATAATGGAATGAGAAATTGATTTAAAAGATGCCTCAGAAGCTGTAAATCATCTCACATGAGAAAGTATTTCAGAATGAAGCTCTGTAAATAGAAAAGAAATAATCTGTGATTTTTAATATTTATACTTAATTTTTGTAATAGTTTACCGAATAAAATCGAATTACCTTTAAAATTTTTAAAACTGTTCGAAGCATGGAAAAAGTATACCATTTGATTCTGTTCAGAAGAAAGTATTGTTTAAAAATTTATTGTTTCACATATTTTTTATTCGGATATATTGTAGAAAACGAAAAAATACAGGACTTAGAAGAGAAGGTCTAGCTCATAGAGCTTTTCCCCCTGAAGCAGAAAGTGAGAAGTGATGACGTAGCCATGATCACACTGAGGCGCGCCAATATAATTCACAGCTTGGAAGTTAGCGTTTTTGAACCAGCATTTAAAATGAGCTGTGTGTGAAAGATTGCTATAATTTGGAAGAGGCAATGTTACTGCTTTATGCATTTTAGACTGAACCATTAAAAAATTTAATAATGCTTACTCAATTTTAAAATAATAGATAAAATGTGCTACTCTTTTAACATAAAGTTCCGTGGTTTTTTTTTATTTTTATTTGCAGGTTTTTTTTATTTAATGCACGTTTATTTCTAATCATTTCTTTATTTCGCATGCTAACTGAGAGAATTTTTATACTGCTTCTAAGATAACTATAATAGCAGCTATTTAAATTTACTCAAAAACTAACTTTACATTGACATAGGTTTAAACATATATGACGTATATGGCAACATTTCTGCTAACCTACGTTTGATTTTTTTTGCCTAATTGTAAATTTTACATTGTTATAATTCTCTTCCGATTCAATATAATAGATATTTTTAAAATAATTTTGGAATTTATACTTATATCTATATTTCAATTAAATAAATGTATATAAGATTGTTACCTTAATTTTGACAAAATAGCTTTATTCAGAGTACCTAAAACAGTTATTTAATTTTTCAAAAGTGTGAGTAAAGGAAGCAGGTCTTTTTATGCCAATTACTTTGATGTTTTAAACTATTATATTTTATCTGGAATGCTAATCTAGCACAAAATCTAATCAATAATTAGTTACAAAGGATACAATAAGAATAACTTTAACAAGTACTTAACAAAATTAGTTTGTTAAATACTTGTTATTTTTGTTGGTACTATTTTGGTACTATTCATAATACCGAAGATATTATCGATTAACTCATAGAAGTCAGATGCTTTCTGATTTCCTGTGGGGTAGAGTATACATTTTGCGGTACTTTTTGAAAATAATGTTTTCTCTGGAGCGACTTTGTGTCTCGTTTCCCTTGACCATTAAATAATTTGGTTTTAGTCTGTGACACAATTTGATTTCTTCTCAATCTCTATTTAAAACCTCTTTAATAATATCAAAATCTAAAACAGTTACATCTTCTAAAACAAATCCTCTATCTAAAACGCGGTTTCTCAGTAATTTGAGGCAGAGCGCGAAATGAGACCTCTGATTAAAACAAACTGCACATTTTGAAAAGAACCAACTTAGTCCAGTTTAGAGTCATAGCAGAGTTTTCAATCTATATGCATTTCGTCGAAACTGAGAACGCATATTTTTTCTACAGAATACAAATATTCGCCTCTTTCCTTCTTTAGAGTAAGAACATTACTTTGAATTCTTGGACTACACTAAAATTTAGAAAACACTATAAAAAATAAAATAAACACAATCTCTTTAATTTGATAATACTAGGTAAAGATATTCCAATTTTTTTCTTAATTTTTTTTCTTTCCAAAAATCATAGCTTTAAGATGGCAGAGCTCTTATGACAATGCAACGTGAAATATTTTCACTAGTCCATTTGATTTTTTTCTTCTTTTTCAGTAATGCATTAATCTGCGTCTTTATAAAAATAGGCTTTAGACATTTTTCCAAATTCTCCAATTTGTGCTCCCCCCCCCAAATTTCGCTATTTGAGATTTTAATTTCTGATACCAATTTCTGTCTAGATGTCGTCCACCTTCTTTGTCGCTGAAAAAACATTCTAAAATTTTTCTTTTCTCTATTTTTCAATACTTTGATACAATTTAATACAATTCTCTAAGGATATTATTTTGTTCTTCAAATTATCAATGCATTCTTGTTTATCCTTATACATTCAGGATGATCTACATTTCATTTGTGAGTTTTATTTCAAAATCATTAAAATTTGATTTATTATTGTCATCATAATTTACTTTCGGCGCAGCATTCCATTTCAACAGTTTCTTTTTGTGGCTATCCAAACAAGCGATTTTTCATATCATCTTTATAAACACTGCATAGAAAATGTTCGCTGCAGATTTTTCCGCTCTTCACATTAATAGAATCTTCTGTTTGACATTTGTGTATCCATTCTTTCGTCAAAAGCAAACTCTCATTTGGATCCTTTGGTCCCATGAAATAAAATATCTCATCCTTTCATACTTCTGTAAGTGCTACGGCACGTTACTGCAGCGCAAAAAGCCATATTACGTAAACGATACTTTACAATATAAGAATTTAAAATAAAAACTGACTAAAATTACATATAGTATATAAATTATTTTAAATATATACATTATTAGAAAACAGATATATATATTATTAAAATTAATTTGGGATATGTAACCCCTAGAAAATCATCTAGCAGCTCAATGAAACTACTGTTTTAAACGCGGGAAATCAGGACAGGTGGCATCACAGTGACGTCAGATTATTGCCTGTTACGTCCCCCATTAGACTCGCGTCGGCGAGGAGTCGAACAAAGAAATGAGCTAGCCCTTCTATTTATCCCTGAAAAAATATATATTTACCACATAATTACGAAATTTTGACCTCCGCGAGTCACTGAATGTTTTGGCAAGCAAGAGGGGTGTGTCACTGCTTCAAGGGAGCGTATACCAAGAAAACCAGTTTGCGCCTATCCTCATTTCTTTTTCGTACCGTATGTTTGTAATTTCAGCGGAAGATATCTATGTTGCATAAACGTGTGTAAAAGATTTTAAAATAATTTATTTGGTAATAATATGTTGAAGAATGGTTTATACTTGTGTTCCTGATTTAGAAAAATTAATCTCAATACTGAAAATGTCCACTTCTTTCCGTCTCCGAATCGAATTTGATGTGCAAAAAAGTGGTTATATGCCGTTTATTAGCAGAATTTCAGCCCATCAAAACATTCTAATGTATGTACGATCATTTTTTTTTAACTATATGATTTTCTTAATTGAAAAAGATATTCTTATTAGTGCATTTGAAAGTATGTATTTCTTGGTTTTCCAAAAAAATAGGCCTTATTGTTCCACGTTTAATTTTTATTAAACTTCTATAATGTTATTTTGAATTCAATAAAATCTGTAATTAATAATGCAGACGGAAGAATTAACAAATAGTACAGCAATTTGTCATTAATTCGAAAGCATTTTATTAAATCTGTAATGAAATGTATTGGGATATTAATTAAAACATTTTTAAGTAAATAATAGGTAAGCGAGAACTTATAAACCTTTATATAATATCAGGATAATAAGTATACATATTAGAATTCAGCTAGCTAGAATTTTTCTGGTTCCTAAATTTATTTCTGAATGGAAACCTTATTGCATTGCAAGCAAACCTTCATTTTGCATTGACACTACTTGTAAGATTTTTCTTATAAATCTGCAGTGGTAGTCGACGTTGAAAACTTTTTTTTTTTTTAAGTTTGTGAAAAACATTTTATCAAATCAGACGCTGAACCGAGTAATCGAACATTTTGATGAGAAAGGAGGAACTTCTATAAAATTTAATTTGGTTAGGTCAAGGCTTCGAAAGGATGCTGTACCCTCACACTGCCCTGGCTGCCCAAATTGCGTATAGTAGAGTTTCATAGAAACAACTGATTGAGCTCACACTTGCTGCAAGTCTAATCAGCAATGAAATTTTGACAAGAAAATATGTTTTTACATGTTTTCCTTTTCATGCATAAAATCTGAAAATGTTCCTGATGTTTGAGCAGTTATTTTCAGAGAAGATGAAATTCTTTTTCTTATTATTGATATGTCCGTGGTCCAATGCTATATTATTGCTTATTGACATTCTGACGGAACTCACTTATGCTTCCAACATTCGAAAAGTGATTCAACGACAATAGGGATAGGACTCTTCAGTCCGGGAGCCCTTCGAAAGGAACCAAAGGTTCACGGATGATACCAATCATTGAAGTGTCAGTAGTGGTGACAGAAATTTTAATGTCTAATATTTTTATTGGTAAGTCAGAATTAGAAAAAATAGATAAGGAAGTGTTTCCTAATGTAATAAATATTCTTTTTTTTTTTTTTTGAAATTTTAGATTTTTTTTCTAAATCACAAAATGAAAAAAAAAAAAAAAAAATTCTTATAAAAACAGCTTTATTTATCTATTGAAAACTGTTGATGATGATGGTGATAAATAATAGAAAACTGTGGAATTCATTATAGAACAATTGTCAAATCTTATTTGTAAAAAGGAATGCATGTGTTATTCATCAGATATGTATGTTTTCTTCATTATTTTATATTCTATTCCTCCCCATGCATGTACCTTTTTAAAAAGTTAATGTAATATCATTATGTCACGTTCAAGAACGATTTATAAAATATATTCTGGATTGTATACTAACTTCATTTAAAGCACAGTCTGATGAAAATTTCTTATCTTTCATGAAACAAAAAGTAAATGGCTTGAAAGCAGAAGGCATAGTTTCAAAGTCCATGTTGGATGAAATATGCATAAAACCATGCATAGATAATAAGAAAATGTTGGTATGGCATATAACAGTGATAGTGTTACAAATACAGCACATTATTTATGGTACAAAGTTAATCATTATCATTTAAATAAGTTATACATATGCTGCTCATTAAAAGAATGCTAGCTGAAGAACTTTTTTTTAGTTTTATAGAAAACAGTAATTGGTTTACATAGTTTAGGGTTTAAAGATTTATGTGCAGTCACTGATAATAATGCTATAAATAGGCAATGTCCTTTTTTTCCTACCCCATTCGTGTTGAACATTATTTATCAATACTCATTCAGTGTGTGCTTTTATCATTGATTCTGATCATGTATTTAAAAGTACAAGAAATAATTGGTTGAACAAACAAATTTGTGAACAAGCATTGCCCTGATTTTAATGATTTGAGAAGTTACAATTATCCATTGCCTCACTTAAATTACTAAACAGATAATTGAAAAATGTGCCTCATATGCACATTTCCAAAGTTGAATAATTGTAGTCTTATGTTGACTACCGACAAGTTTTTTTCCAGGTTGCTGATTTAAGTAAGACTATTATAGTTGTAAGTAAATCAATGTTGGTCAGAAATACCTAGTATTAACTAAACCAGTGGTGCCCAACCTTTAGCCTATTGCTAGCACATTCCAAAACATCAACATTTTTGTTAAATATTTCCAATCTTATGTGATAACATCTGAAATATTAATTTCGGCAAATGGGTGTGAGATGAATAATATTATTGGTTGATCTTTGGATTATGGTAACTTGGCGAAAATTTGGCGACCAACTCTGCTACAGCAACCCTTTATTTTTTTTTTCGCCGTCAAAGACATGTTTCTTTTTATTTACTGAACACTTTTTCCAGATATCTACTAGCCGAATTATACTTATGCTAGAAATTTTATGTAACAAAACTGCTTAATCATGACAAATATTAACTGCAAAATTGGGAAAAAGTGCACAATCGCAAACTCCTTGCGCGTTTTTCAGAATAGCATATACACATAAACCATTTACACGTCGACTTATTTTTACTTAAAAAAACATCCCAGAATTGCACAAAAATGGCATTGCACACACTCTTAACTTTATCCATCTACACTGCTATTTTCTCATAAATTAAAAAAATTTGCACGAAAATGCAAAAAAAATCTGTGAATCTTTAAAGTCGGTAAAAAGCACATATATGAAATTACCTGATCGCGAAAACATATATATCCTTTCCAAGGATGAACATTTCCACGTATAAAATAAATAAAATATCCAAAAACTTTTACCTCTAAATTATCTATATTATAAACGTCAACAACGAATTCATACCGCAAACATTACAAATATTTACAAATACTTAGTGTCAAATATTTAAATTATATCCACACACGTTTACTTCAACTGAAACGTATACCAAATTCCTACAATCATAAAATTCACAAAATAATTATCATTTAATTAAAATATCACTAAACCATGTACACGTCGACTTATTTTTACTTAAAAAAACATCCCAGAATTGCACAAAAATGGCATTGCGCGCACTCTTCATTATATCTATGTACACTGCTTTTTTCTCATAAATTAGAAAAATGCATGAAAATACTCAACGTATTCTACTCAAACGTATTCCAAAATACTACAAACATATAACTCACAAAATCACGATCATTAAATTAAAATATAATTAAATTAAAAATCACTACTTAAAATATAAATAAGCATGTACATTAAATTAATAAAAATTAGATTACAATCTTAATTACTTTAAACTAAATCATTGCTAATAACAATTTTCCAATAATATCATATTAATTTATTTACTCCTTACATTTAGAACAATGCATAAAAATAATATCCTCAAATGATTAAAAATACTAACATACCTAATCTTCAGAATCTTCATTATGTGGCAGGCACACTTCCTCTGTTTCACACAACACACAATGAAGCTTAATACTAAATTAAATAGTACTACAGTTTTCCAAATTCTCCCCCCTTTTTCCGATTAAAGAACTGTAATTCATCCATTAACGTCACATGACATATCTCATGATCTCCTATTTCCCTTACGCAAAATAATGCATAATCGGAACTAAGTACTTCTCACATTATTGCCAAAGTCCTAGATCCAGTATATTTTCGCCTCCAAAATGTCACCAAACTACCAGTTACCATATTCCAAAGATCAGCCATATTATTGGTTGAACTTTATGGAAATCAGAGAAGAGGAGTTCAAAATTAATTTTTCAGTGCATTTAGGTTTTCCGAGTATTTCTCTGTTTCAATTGCCTTGTAGTTATTAATATGGCTTGATGAATTCTGAAAAATGAGTGAAATTTTTTTTTTCCATCTGATTTATACACAAATTTAAGTTGATCTGAAAAGCAGTTAGTCTCAGTCAATTGAAAAAGGATTTTTTTCTTTTCCCTGGAGATCTGCATTCAGTTTAGCTGTTATATTCGTGAAAAAATACAGATCGGATAACGAATTATTATCGTCCAATTCTTTGTAACTTTCGTTTCCGGATTCTAAAAACTGCTTTATTGGCGAAAGAAGTTACATAAATCGTTGAAGTACTTTTCCCCTGCCAAGCCATCTAACATCGCAATGAAGCAATAAGATTCCATGTTCGCTATCAAGTTCATCAGTCAGCAATCAATTATTTTGTAACGTCTTGCAAGATATCTCTTATGACTATAAATGCTTACTATATTTTAACAAGTAAGAAATATAAATAAATGTTTTTTTTTAAAAAAATATTTTTTGTTCATAGTACCTAATCGGGCTGGTGAGCACATACAAAACGATCGGCGAGCACGCTTGTGCTCGCAAGCACAAGGTTGGGCACCGCTGGCCTAAATCAATAAAATCTTTCAGCTTCCTCCCATGTACCCACTGTAGAAAATGCATTTCATTATGTAAGTGATTTTATGACCAAATATAAAACATCCTTAAGCACTAATTGTGAAGACTAGGAAATATTATTAATTTTCTTTAAACAAAAGCACATATGGAGTCTTTGGATATGAAAATCTCTGTTAGGATCCTATTAATTAGGATTTTAGGGATAATTTATTGAATAGCTGGACAGCTGGCAATTTTTTTTTTTTTTTTTTTTAACATTCCATGAACCACTCTCTTCCTGCTAGCAGTTTCTCATCTCCAATGCCTGTTAATAAGCATGTTTCAGGTTCTAATCCTTAAAGGGTTAATAGAAAAGTCATTACCTGCTTTGAAATATCTTGTTGATTATATTGAACTTTCATTTAACAACAACAAAATAAATAAATAAATAAATAAAAACACAACTCTTCCCACAACTTAACACCTCCCCCACTAAAAACAAAGTAGACGTAGCAGTTATTTTTTTTAATGTTGAGAATATTGAGAAGGTAAGTAAATTTGCAAAATGATGTAGCAAAACTTAAATTATATAAATCAAAAGCCATTGTACTTTTTCTTCGCTAATGCAGATGTTTGAAAATATGTGTGTATGCATATCATAGTAACATTTCGAATTAACTGAAATTATGTTGGGTTTTTACTCCACAGTATTTTTCAGAATTCTATAAATAGAGTCTCTATTACCTCTGATAAAAATATTTGTTCCTTAATCTACCATCAGAAACGTTTATCTAAAATTATGTTTTAGTTTTGGTTACCTATATTTCAGCATATCACGTGCATCTACAGTTTCAAACTGATTTATTAATTTTGGGGTAATTTGCTGTGTAACATGCACTCTTTTCTTAACCAAGAAACTTGAAAGGTACCTATGTGATGTTGTTATCTTTTGAAGTCATTCATTCAAAGGTTTTCCCCAAGTATATGGACAATGGCATATTGAATTGTCAAGTGATAAGGGGAAAAGTACGTGTGTGAAGAGAAATGCTTGAGATAGTAAATAATTCTGTTAAGAGGGTTGGTTGTATTTAATGCAGGTGTGCAGAAGACTGTTGTAAGAGTTTCGTTCTAGGGTTTTGAGAAAAGAGAGTTAAAATTTTAGTTAAGAATATCCTTGCGACCCGAATGAACTTGTGAAATGAGAAGTCAGTCTTTTTTCTCTTTTTTTTTAAAGCGAACTTTGAAGCTTTACTACATTGTGTTTGCTTTAGATGAAATGCAGTTGATCTAGAGTTCCTTTTAGTAGTAGATATAGCTCCTGCCAGACAAAACAGTGCTCGTTTCAAATGCAAAATCATTCAGTTTATGAAAGAAAATGGAAATCGGGCTGCAACAAGGATGTTTGGTATTTCTGCGAGATGGAACAGGAGTTGATAATGTATGTCATTTCTTTTAAATAAACAGCATTTAGGCACATGTAAAAATTTAGTTTTTGAATGCTGAATTTTTCATTATCTGTATTCTATTATTTTTATATCCAACATATAACACATATCTGTAAATTTCATTCTTATTTTTTTTATTAAAAGTGTGCATTATATGCCAGAATATACAGTGCATACAAATGCAAATACTTCATTTTTTATATTCTGTGTGCAAATACTTCATTTTTATATAAATGCAAATACTTCATTTTTATATTCAGGGCAAATAAATTTTAATTTATTTGCCCTGAATGTGTTATCCAAATTTAAGATATCTCAACCAAATTTTGTCATACAAGAGTCACACTTTTTATATTTTACTTTTTACAATGAGTATAAAATTTTCCGAAATACAAACATAGGAACAGAGGTAAATTTTGGAATTTTTTAAAATTTTTAAATGGTAAAAAATTAATATTTACAGCATTTAAAACATTTTTTAACATGGAAGGCTATGCTTAAGACCAGTAGTTACAAAAATAAAGGCTAAGCAAGGACTTTTATGGACATGGTCTGTATTAGGCATAATTTTAATTTATAATATCTCCTTAAAACTTGTTATACTAGTATTTCCCTTTTGATCTTAAGATGGTAAAATGTTTAAAATAAATCTTTCTGAAATGAATCATTCTAAGTGGTGCGTTTACTTGCATAATAATAAAAAAGAAACTTTTATCATTAATCAAATAATATTCATATAGAACTTTTAACAACCAATAATAATAAAACAGCATTTTGTTCTTCTGTCAAGAAATAAAACATCGTCAGATATTATGTTCTTTTATTCTATCCCAGCAGTATTATTTTATCTAACACTAGCTGTTCCTGTGATAAAAATGAGAAATGTGTGTTTAAAATTCTAATAGTCAGTATGCATGTCTTGGCAATTGTGTTATTTCATTATACTTATTATGTACGCATTCTAGTAATAATACTGAAAATAAATACCTAAAAAGCCTGATTACTTTTCTACCAATATTATGTGTGGTCTTCACACTGAATTAAAATACACATGTTTAAGCTGTTAATGAAGATCTAGCATTGAAATAATTTTATGAAGCAGTTCAAAGCTTAGAACTATTTTTTAAAAATTCCTCTTTTGATGGATGTAATAAAGAAAGAGCTATAAGGGCTACCTACATTAGTATCTCATTAAAAAGAGTAAAATATTTGCTAGTAAGCTTGATGAATATACTGATGTTAGCAGTGTGGCTGTGAAAGGGAAATACTATTTTAGAATTTATCTAGAAGTGAAAAGGCTAAGTCAAATTATTTACTGTTTTATTCATAGAGAGCCTTTTTTTCTAAACATTGTAGATGAACTTGAAAATTTGCATCATCTGTTTTAATATAGTGAATTTGACAAAGCCTAAAGTGTTTTATTATTGACTATTTCACATTCTGTGCAAGGAAGTGATCTCGGTTTGTGAAATTGTGTTGTAGCACAATGAAATGAAGTGGCTTTCCTGCAGAAACATTTTGAAAAGATATTTCAGATCTGCAATGTAACCTTTAAATATTTGGATAGATAGATACTTTGCTATTTTTTTTTACTCCAAATTAAATTTACATACCATCTTATCTAGTTTTCTTTCTTTCCTTTTTTTTTAATTAAAAAAGTAAGAAAGATGACTGAATGAAGTCTTTGCAAGCAAAATATATCACATTATTAGTGCTAAACAATAATATGCAGTCCTTAAAAGAGTACTTGAGTTTTTTTTTAAAATGATTTTTGGTCCTTAATAGTGGCTAAAACTATCAAAAAGTTTTTTTTTTTTTTTTTTTTTTTTTTTTTTTTTTTAATGTTATTCATCTGACATTTTGCCTGTTTCTTACCACTGCCATTTTGAGTGTGAATTAACATTTTGGAGGAATATTTTTTCTGTTAACTAATACATATTTTCTGAGTTATCTCTTGAATTCGTTTTATTTCTAGTATAAACTGTGCAGCACTTGAGTTTCTAGGCCTGAGGCCCTATCTTGATCGAAACAATCATTTCAAAATTATTTCTTTTTTACAAATGAAGAGATCATAAAATATTACATAGAAAACAACTTTTCCCTTTTGGGAATATGAATTCTTTTGTAATGCAGCACTAAATTTGGCAACTTATTAAGATTTTGGCAATTTTAAAACCAATTTGTGTGTAAAATTTTTCATTTAAAGATTTATGAAATTTTGACAATTTCTTTTTGACAAATATAACATTGATAAATATCATTAAAATAATAATAATGGATCAAAATTATATTTTAAGAAATAATATTAAAGTAAAGCATTTTTATTTTGTCCTGTCTTATTTTAAAGTGACATTACTTTCTATTTTGGTGACTAAGGAATATATTGTTTCTGTAAAATAAACGATATAATGCTAATTTCTGAAAACCAAAAAAGCTACTGTAATTATTTTTAAATTAGAGGATAATTTTTCTTTCATATTTTCGACCTTGCACATCAGAAGGATTTAAAGGCAAGATTTATAGACCTATGATTCTGGAAGATTTCAGAAAAATGTGACAAAAGGGAAAATGCCTTTTGTGATATTAACACATAGTAGATATGTTTTACAGGAAACTTGTGATGAGGTTTTTTTTTTTTTTTTTTTTTTTTTTTTTTTTTTTTTTAGAATTCTGAAAAGAACACTGAAAGCAAAATTTATTTTTCTTCTTATGATCTGAGAAATATTTCTCTTACTGTGTTTATCTTTCTTTTCTCTTGTTTTCATGAGATATAAGGATGGAAAATTGCAAAAATGGTTCTAAACTAAAAGGGATAATGTAAATTTTTAATGTCTAAGGCCATCTTACCACTTAATTTAATTATTTGTAAATAACTCTTCATCCCTAAAAATTACCTCGTGTTTTAAGGCGAGTTATTGCTGCAGCAGACCACACAAAGAGAAAGAATTCATGTGTGTAGTCCCTCGGAAGTCTCACTTTTGAGGTGTCAGACAACATTGTTGGGACAATAACCTGTTCAGTAATATGCTAATACTCCACTTGACATTACTGTAGCCTCATACTCCCCTGACATTACAAGAGTCATAATTTCACTGCTAGTGTCAGAGAATTTTTGAGGATCTGCACTGCATCTGTCATCAAGGCCCCTTGAGCTCAGGGGCCGACGAACAAATGATCCTTTGACTTCTGTGATATCACCTTCAACTATAAATAATGAGTCCGGATTAAAGACTTTGTACTGTATTGAGTTTCTGCATTACATTGAATAAATATGGAATATAAAATGGGGATTATTTTATTTGTGTGTCATTTTGTTTTTTTATTATTTTTACCTTTTCATTGCATGCTTTAGTGTGAATGAAATAAGTCAAAAAATAACTCTGGAACGTAGCCCTTGCTTGCTTTGCTTTAATTTAATATATATATATATATATAAATGAATAAAAATACCAGCTTTATCAATGCGTGTAAAGTATCACACAAAATATTTAATCTGAAATGGCTGTGTTTGCGATATTATACATAGGGGATTCTGCTTAGAAGTGTCTTAAGATATAACTTATGGTAGCTGTATTTTACTTATATACATAATAATTTATTTTTTGTATTGAGTTGCTGATGTTGTATGCCTGTCTTGAAATATTTTATGCTATTTCAAAGCTTCTTAATGTTCTCACAATAATATATCTGGTTTTAATTAGTATCTTTCCCATTTTATTAGATATATTTTTCTTGCTTTTAGGTTATGAGGAAAATTATTGAATGTTGTATAGTTATTAAATCCACCACAGATACCAACATTGACTATTGGAGGTAAGTTTTTCCTTCTCTCTCCCCCCCTAAAAATATCTAAATTGTTGAAATATACTCTTCTGAAATTCATTAAATTGTTAATTAATATTGATTTTATTTTTCTTCATATTCGATTCAAAACTGTTGAAATGCATTAACCTAGAAACTTGATAATTTTTTAACATTGTGCCATCATGAACTGTAATATATAAATTTTATATGCTAGCTTCTTACAAGGCAAATGTTTTTCATATTTTTTATTGCCTATTAATTGCACTCGCATCCGAAGTTATAGAATTATCCGATAAAAAGTGATCAAATGATTTCTGATATGTAAATCAAGGTTTTATATTATCTGACAGTTAGTACAGAGCTTGCAGCTACCACTGAAACTGCTGTATCATGTATATAGACGAATTGTTCTGTATATAGAAGGCTTAATGAAGCAGCCTTTATGGCAGAAAACCAAGGATACATGTTTTACTGTGTTCATAACAAAAAGGGGGGCACTTTAGTTCGTGCAAAGGACATCAGAACTGGGATGAACACCAATGGTGTCAAGTTCTGTTTGCTGATGAGTTGAGGTTTAACATCCGATTCAATATATATATGGAGGGAGTCGGGAATGTTAAAAATCTTTCTTCGAACATTATGGAATGTGACCTTTTTCAGCTGTGATTCTGTGGGAAGGAGTAATGATTGATACCCCTGCACTTTTTCAGTAGCAGATGTGGGAACAGTTAGAGATATTGAAATGAAATCTTAGAATTTTAGGTAAGACTTTTCAGAGCTGCATATGGGTTTGATGTTTTATGTGTGGATGATAATGCTGGTCCACATCGAGCAGATCTTATTGATGAATTCTTTCAAAGTGAAACCATTGAGCGAATACTGTGGACAGCAATTCTGATCTTAACCCAATAGAAAACTTATAAGATTATGTTAAAAAATGCTGTTGCACAGAGACATCCTTTTGCTTGAAGTAGCAAAACTTGCTGGAAGTGCAGAACTTAATTCCCCAAACTTTGGTTAACATTGCCAGCATGAGAGCATGCGATATGTGTATACACACCAGGAGAGATCACATTCTGTATTAAATTCAAAACCTTAATTATTTTTATTTATTCTTTTTTCCTGAATTTTGTTTGTTACATGTTACCATTTTTATTATTTCATACTGCAGTTTTATATCATATGCAGTGATCTTAAATTTTTTCTTTTGTATTTATATGTTTTGATGTTATATATAATTCCACACAAATTCATCAAATTATAGTTCACAATGTGAGTGAGAAATCTGCAATTTCATGTATGTAATGCTCATATTGAACATGAATGTATATTTGCATTCTTGTTTTTTTGTTTTCTGTATTATGTAGTCTTTGACTATGCTTTGTTTAAATATATATTTTCTATGTTTAAAAAAGTTCTTTCTTTATTTTGTAAATATTTCTGTATTTTTCTGTCACTATTTCGAATTAGTTTTTAAAGAATTTAAAAACTTTTAAGGTACTGGATTCGCCAGGATGCGCAAGTGGATGACCAGTCGCCAATGACAGAGGTTTTAAATAAAAGAAGAGAAAAGAGATAATGGCAGAAGGAGTGGAAATGGCTGGAGAGGGCCATGGAAGGGATCTCAATCACCGGGGAGAAGGGAGCGAGAAAAAAACAGATAAAGCTGGGACCTCTGGAGTGACCTCCAAACTGGTGAAGAGCTTTTCAAGCAGTGAAGATTCTCATAAGAGAGAATGCATTGCTGATGACAACTCGGAAAGGGCCCTAAAGAAATGACGGCTTTATAGTCAAGCTGTGAGGAAGGCAATTACTCTGTGGGTCGTTTGCAAGGATGACTCCAGAGACATAATGTCGTCGGATTCGGATTTCATCACTTCTGTGATTGATGACCAAATTATCTACGGCTCCATTACTACCTGTAGGGTCCACAAGACAGTCTGGTGCTGGGAGTGGAACATGAGCTCATGGATTACCTGGAGGTCCAGAATTTCAAACTTTTTTGTGGTGCCCGTTTCTCTGTACAGCTGAAGGAACCAAGACCACAGGGAAAATCAATTCTTCTGCCCAAGGATCCTCTGAGGAAACAGTTGATGGAAGGAGCGGAGACCGAAAAGGAGTCAGAACCAGAGCCTTCTTTGGAGGCTCTGGGGAAGATCTCTGAGTAGGTTTCCTCTGTCACGACTTCAAGGTAAGTTGTGGTTAAAGAGGTGGCTTTTAACTCTCTCCTAAAATCCTTCAGGGTAAGTTCTTATCTCTCATTTAACTTGTTTTAATGGTTAAGGTTAGTCAACTAAACCTGCAACATAGCAGAGCAGCTTCATACAATTTAGCTGCTCAATTAGGTAAACAAAACACTTTTGTTGCCTTAATTCAAGAACCTGGGTCTACAAGGGTAAAATCCTTGGTAGGCCCATGAACGCACACTTCTTTTCATCAGAAGGACCTAATAAAAGACCTTCAACTAGCATTTACATTTCTAAAAATATAAAGGCTATGAAATTATCTCAATTTACATCAGAGGACTAGACTGCTGTTTTAACTCCATAAGAATTTATAGATCTTGTAAGTTTCTGTGAAATAAACAATATTGCTATGGTTATTGGTGATGTTAACACTCACCACCTGTCATGTGGCAGTTCTGATACCAATCCTAGAGGAGAAAAACTCATGGAACTTATAATGAATACCAAGCTAACTTGGGTAAACAGGGGAAATCGCCCCACCTTTGTCAACAGAAGAAGAGAAAAGGTCATTTACCTCACACTAACTTCTGATATTTATAACCTTATTGAGAATTGGCATGCAAGTGACAATCCTTCACTTTCAGACCATCACCTTATACAATTTTGTATTAGAGATCAAATTCCAGCTGAATTTTTCAGAAACATTAAAAACACAAATTGCGACCTTTATAAGGACTCCCTGGTTTCTAATGTCATTAACCTTTAGGTTTTAGACAATGATAGTTCAGTCGAGGAGCTTCATACGCACGCAAACAACCTGACAAATATTATTGAATCTTATCATGCATCATGCCCTCTCAAATGTAGGAAGTACTCTTCTAGCAAGAGTCTGGTGGACCAATGAGCTTGAAAGCCTGCGCCTAGAGGTTTGGAGAGCTCACAGGAAAGCAGTCGGAAATAAATCTAATTAACTGGTCTAACTTTAAAATTCTACAAAGGAAATTTAAAAGTGAAATCAGGAAAACTAAATACAACTCGTGGAGATCCTTCTGCACAGATATTCTGTCCTACCATGAGACTGCCAGAGTACATAAGATTCTTAAGAGGTCTCAGGAGTCTCAACTCTCATCAGTTATGCGACCAGATGGCAGTTATACTATAAACACTTTGGATACACTTTCGACCATGTTGACTTTTCATCTGGGGGGACACAAGTGTCACCTCTGACCCCCAGGAAAATCTATTGGAAGTCCTTCATAGTCCATTAGATTTGGATTTTGCTAAAACAATAGTGAACTTTGAAAAGATTAAAATGGACCTAGATGTATTTCTTCCCTTTAAATCTCCAGGGAACGATGGCATTTACCCAATTTTGCTTCAGAAAGGCTGGGATATTTTTGGCCACATTCTCGTGGACATATTCGAATCCAACTTGGTTTGGGGATATGTTCCTAAGGTGTGGAGAACTTCACGAGGTGTTTTTCTCCCCAAACCAGGAAAAGATACATATTAGAAACCAAACTTATTTAGAATGTTTATGCTAACATCTTTCCAGCTTAAGCTGTTGTAGCAATTGATTTTCTGGGACCTTAGTCAGATAATAATCTGAACCATACTTTGGGCTTAGACCAACACAGTTTTAGACCTGGCTTCTCCACTGCATCTGCTCTATGCCAAATGGTGTGGAGAACAGAAAAAAATTATAGATGGACACTTTGCCATTGGAGGTCTACTGGATATTGTAGGAGCCTTTGATAAAAATGCCTTTGCTAAAGAGCCTTTGGCTTTGAGAAAATACATAAGGCCCTTATTGGAAGTCATATTCACCCTATGATAACTAGCTGGGTCATTTTGATGAGTAAAGACAGGAATATCTGCAGTAGTCTCACTGACTGTGAAGTAAAGAGAGATATTACTAAAGGGTGTCCACAGGGTGGTATTCTTTCTCCATTCCTGTGGAACCTGGTATTTGACTCACTCTTAGTACTTCTACGGGAGGAACATGGCATGTCACAGGCTTATGCAGATGACCTTATTGTGTTACTACAGGGTTTCAATATTGGAACCCTACACAATCAAGCTCAGCAAATCTTGAATAAAGTATCACACTGGGGTGAAACAAATGGCCTATCTTTATCTGCTGAAAAATCTGAGGTCATAGTTTTCATGTGGAAAAGGAAATGGAAACTGGCAGATTTGTATCTGGGTAACCAGATTATCAGACGTAAGGAATGCATTAAATACCTAGGATGTTACCTGGACAGTAAACTCACATGGGTCACCCATATGAAAGAAAAGGCACAAACAGCCACAAATGTACCAGTACTTTGCAGGCAAATCGTTGGTAAACAATGGGGCCTTAACCTAAAATCTGCTCTATGGATTTATACTGCCATAGTCCGGCCAATGTTTTCTTATGGATGCGTGGTCTGGATCAATGTTATTAACAAAAGCACATATTTATATATCTTTAATATATATATATATATATATATTTAAAAGGTGCAAAGACATGCTTGCCTATGCATTAGTGGGGCTTTAAACAGTACCCCTACTGCTGCATTAGAATTTTTATTGCAAATTCCACCCTTGAAAGTATTCTTAAGCGGAGAAACAATTAAAGCCATGTATAGGTTGAATAAAAACGGCACATGGTGCCAAAGGACAGGTTTCGGTCGTAAAAGCCACCTGAAAAGCCACATTGACATATGCCTGGACTTGGGTAATGAGATCCCTATAATCTATATGCCCAAGGATGCAATTACTAAAATAATAGTTCCAGATAAACTCAACTTATATATAAAAAAAGAATGAAGTAGAATCTCTAATTATCCTAATTCCAACAGGATCAGTTGAATGCTACACAGATGGATCAAAATCCAACTTCACCAGAGCTGGAGCTATTATAAGAACCAAAGGATCTGCAGATTTCAAACTAACAGTCAACTAACTATTCAACTATTCAACAAACTAAACTATTTATTCAACAAACTAAACTATTTCAACAAACTAAGATCTTGGTAAACTAACAACTGTTTTCCAAGCTGAGGTTCTGGCCATCAATATGGTCGCCAGGGAGCTCTTAGCTAAAAATATGGTTGATAAGAATATATATATTCTCTCTGACAGCCAATCAGCCATCCTTGCCCTGGCTAATCGTGTCAAGTTACAAAACTGTGTTTTGAACTGTACTCAAGATCTCAATTCTCTGGCTCAGGCCCATGACACCATTAGTTTAGTTTGGATCCCAAGTCATTGTGATTTTGCTGGAAATGAACTAGCTGATAAAGTAGCTAAAGATGCTTCGCAACTACCAATGTCTGGCCCAGAACCATTTTACCCAGTTTCATATCAAACTGTTAAAAAAGAAGTAAGAAGCTGGATAAAGAACAAACATGATGATATATAGTCTAAACTACCAGACTGTGCTCATTCTAAATTGGTACTCAATACACTTATCAGGTAAACTCATATACCTCAGTAGAACTAACTTACGCCAGTATGGGCATTTATTTAAAACTTTAACAACAACATTGGTGTAAGTGTTATGCTTTGCTAAACATTATTTGTAATTTATACATGAGATTTGATTTTTTATTCTTTTTATTTATTTAAAATTTAAAGCACTATAAATGTGATAACCTACGTTACACTACAAAGATATTCTTTCTAATAAATCTAATATCAAAAACTGAGAGATTATGTATAGCAATATTTATAAATGCAAAAAAAAAAAAAAAAACTGAAACTGTTGAAAGTGCACCTAATTGTCATCTAAATTTCATCTAGTGGCTTGATGAAATTTATTTACTGTTTACCATACTGTTTACTTCACCTAAACTCATATGATTCTTCATCAAGTTAGTATATACACAAGCAGTAGATGCAGCTACATAAGAAGTAAGGAATAGCTTTCTTTTGCATTATTAAATTCATAACCATACTCACCATTTTATAACTAACCTTGTATGCATCCGTTTTGAATATTATATACCCAGTTTTAAATAAAACAAAGTATTAGATGCTGTGCCATCCATATTCTTTGTTGATTATTTTTAGCTTGCTTAAGTAAGATTTAGACAGGTCCACAATAAGTAAATATATTAAGAATCAGTACTTCTGATAGGCATCAGAAGCATAAAATCGCATCTTCCCATAATATGCATCAAGTTACATCCAAACATGCAGAGCTGTACTTTAATAAAATATTAGAAATCAAATAACATATAAAAATTAATTATTGCTGGTTGCATATTCATATTTTATAATTTATGGTTAGATACATATGAAATATTCATATGCAAACAGTAATAAATTGTTTTATTATTAGTAAATAAATGGGTAAATTAGTATAAACAAGTTGTGAGGCATAACTAATAAGAAATGATGTTATTGAATTGTATTTAGCCATCAGAAACATGTATTTAAATTTTGTTAGAGTTGAGGCAAGGTGGAAAAATTTCAACTACTACATAATGACCATATATGTATTACATTTTCTTATAAAACTGTCGTGTAATTTTTTCATATATGGAATGCTAAAAAAATTACACAATTAAAAGTATCTCTTGAACAACTAGGCACGGAACCATGGTTAAATTAAGGTAAAATTATAGATTAAAATGGTTTTTGATCTTACGAAAGTTTTCAGGAACTACAACTAATTTCTCAATTTTTTTTAAAAATAGTTTGGTCATCTTCGAAATTTCTGTAATTTTTAAAATCAAATCATATTTTGTTAGTGCTGTTACAAAGTAACTGTGTTCAAAGTGGGTGTTTAAATGCAATCTTTACTGCTCACGTTGCTTAACTTTAGCATGTGTTGTGGCATAATTTCTGTTTCAGTGCAGCACTAAAAATGCAGAACCCAAAAGTGCATTTTTACCATACTCTCCTCTTTTATTTTAAAGGGGAAAAAGTGCTAGTCAGAGTGCTCTTAAAAGTTTTGCTATATGTGCTAAAAAGTGATGTTTCTGATTCATGGTTCAAAGGTGGCTCAGCATTGAAGATGATGCCTGCAAAGGATGATGAGCATCTTTTGTAAACTAACCATTTCCAGATGGACATCCCGCATGTGCATTCCCTACAAATGCCTTGCAGCCGGGCATCCCACTCACCAGTATGTGTGTGTATTTAATTATGGCAAAGCACACTAGGGCTATCTGCCTAAGGGGAGGGATGCCTTTCATGGAGGACTTTCTAAGGGAAACTGTCTCTTATACACGTTACACATGGGGAAAACCACGAAAACACCCATGCAGCCAGCCCGTTCGCGGAATTCGAACCTCGGACCGAACTACCAGTGTTCAGCGACTTTACCGCTCGGCCGCTGGTGGGCCCGCCCCACTCACCAGTGTGCATAAGGGATGGGTGTTGTGTATGTGCATTTTAAGCTGAACCATTTTTCAGAGACCATTTGAAAGTGTCCTGTGTCTGTCACTTTTGAACTGAATGTAAATTATAGAATCCTGACCTTAGTTTGATCACATTCTTCCTAACTTTGGTGTTAGACATTGTGGGGGAGGTGGGAAAGCATATTGTAAATAAAGAGAGCTCAACTCTAAGTTGCCACATGATATAAACTTTTGCATTTCTGATGTCCCTTCGAATACTTTTTTTATTATTATTTGCCGCTACTATATCTCTTAGGGTTACTGTGTGGGTTCTCTGTTATGCTTCGGTTTGCTTTTATAGCTTCTGTTTTGTTTACTTCCCTTTTGGAAAGCTTTAGCTTCAATTTATTATGGTGAGCCAGTGTTATCAGAGGAAGGATATACTCGCATGGTAAAAGACCCAGTTAGTGACATGGATGAGAGTGATGATTCTTTTTCTAAACAGTTAAAGAGTGATATTTCTAGTGACTCTGATATGGACATTTTGTCAGAGTGCTCACAGTGCCTGCCTTCCACTTCCCATGAAAGATTTTATTACTTCTTATTGTAAATAGTTTTTCCTATATTTTTTATTAATTAAAAAGTTTATTAATATATTTTTCAATTAAAACTTTTGAATAATTTGAATAGTACTTCTGAAAATTATTTCTCAATGTAAGCGACTGTTTTGTATAGTTTCATGTCAAGTAAAGAAAAATTATTATTAAACACTAAATTTAATGTTAATAATAGCTTAATGTAATAATCTAAAATGGTAGCAAAATTATGACGTTAGTACTTGAACTTTTTTTTTTTTTTTGCATTCTTTTTCCAAAGTTAGGCTTAGCAATAGAAAACCCTTATCCTGTGGAATAATTCCATCTCCTATCCATCTCAAGGGAACGTCTCAAAAGGGTTAAAATCCAAGGTACAAAATTCAGGAACTTTCACAGGGTTCGTAGCATTCCTTATAGTGTTTATAAGTCCTTATATTTGAAAATAAAATATAAAGGCCCTTATAGGTGCTTACTTTTTCTTTAAAGCCTTTTTTTTTTTTTTTTTTTTTTTTTTTTTTTTTTTTAGTGCTTATTTTTTGCTTTTAGTGCTTTTTTTTTTTTTAATGAACGCTCTAGTTTTCTCCGTACCCAAAGCCAAAACTAAATAAAGAACTTTTCTTTCCCTCTTTCTCTGCATTAACATAACCCTTGGTGTGCATGAAGAATACAGACAGGTGCCCGTCGTTCTGTTGGTTAAAGAATTGCGAAAGCAGTAGAAAATTCTGGTACATTCAGCATTCTTTTCCTCCCACCCAAATACTGCACACGTTTGAATTTCTATCAAGATCTTAATAATTTGCATTCTTGTTCCGCTTGGTCAGTCATACTTGTGTTTATTATGATCGTTATGCTTATATTATGAGCATACGTATGAATGTTTATAATAACATAGTTGCAGTAACTGCTGAAGTATAGTAAACTTCCAAAAATTGTTGTGTTTTAACACAGATTAGCTTTCTAAGGAATAATATTTGGAATGGCTGAAATAAAGGGAAAGTAATCGAATAGTCAAAATAATTTCTTTTTTTTTTTGCCAATACATTATACAGTACGAAGATTGGGAGGTTCTCCCCTTTCTCCGCAAAATCTCGAATATTGAAACAGTTACAGTTCGCTGCAAAACAAGCAACGGACTTTTTTTTTGTCACTTTCCAATCTGGATTGAATAGGACTAAAAGTTCTGCGGTCTACCAACTGACGCAAAGAATGATTCTGTTCCAGAAATTTAATGTCGTCTGTTGAAAATTAGAATGAGAAACACCAATGTTATTTAGTTCCTTTATTCTCCCAATACCGGCAGCAGTTGATTCCAATTGCATAATATCACGTAGGGAAGAATGACGCACATATTGCACAATAACGTTTGCAATATTTTGCAGAGATAATTTTGATGTTCTGTCCGAGATTCGTTTATGAACACTTAAAAGAGATTTACTGTGCTTGCTATGCAGAATATTTTTCAGTTCCATTGGTTTATTTTTATATTATGCATATATCGAAATGTAAAAAGCATTTATTTAGCGGAAAAATCTAAAGAGCGGCTACAGTCTATCCCCCGCCCCTCCACTCCTCTTTTTCAAGTTAAGCTCGACTGTCCGAATATTAGCCAATTTTCAAGTGTGCGGGTTAGTTAAGCTTTTACTGTTAAAGGATGACTGCATGAAGCAAATTTTTGTCTTCTGATGTCAGAAATGTTCCTCTTTTTTATTTAAATTACTTTTCTTGCAATATCTGTTCAGGGAAACCTGATATACAATGAAAATTTAGAAAATGTTCAGAATTTAGATTTAAATTATTTAAATATCAATATGAGTGGAAAAATAAATTGTATTTATTATTAGGTTCCAAGCGAATACAATAAATATGCCTTATTATTTATTTTCTCTATTTTGAACTGAAATTTCGTCATTAAAGCTTGTAATATAGTTTAGTTCTGCATATTTTTTCTTCTCTCATTGTAAACTAGTTCTGTAAATTGAACTGTTATTTAAAATTAAAAAAAAAAAGTAATTATTTTCCATGGTTGAGGTAATGCTTATTCTCTCTTAATAAATACTGCATTTCTCATATTTTAAATTACAAGTCCAATTTTTAAGGTTATGCAGTTGTGTATAATGTAATTAGACAGGTGCTTATTTTTTTTCTTAAAATGTGCTTATAGGTGCTTATTTTTTTAACTAAAATGTGGCTATGAACCCTGTTTCAGTCAGAATAAATATTCCAAAAAGTGTAGTATATGATGATTTGAACGCGATTGGATATGTAAGCTGTTGTGATGTGTGGGTACCCCTATACATTAACAGAGCAGAATATGTTTGTTCAAGTTGTGAAATATGATTCTTTGCTGGGAAAAAAGGACACTTCTTTTCTGAAATGTCTGATTATTGGAGATGAGAATTAAATACTATATAATAATGTTACAAGAAAAAGATCATAGTGTAAGCTTGAACTTCACCTCAAGTAGCACAAGAAGAAGTAGTGAAGATGATGCAGGCTGGTCTGAGAATTTGCAATGAGGTGATTGGGAACTTTAAAGTTGTCTTTACACTGCAGTGAAGACTCAAAATATTTGTCGTCACATTTTGGCAATTTATCAACGTTGATGAAATGTCATGATATGACTGCTTTTAGACATGATCATTCTAATCTTTCTTTATAAGTTACCTCTTATTCTAAAGAATAAGAGACTAAACCTGCACTTGCAAGAATTTGAAGTCTTCACAAGTTTCATTTTATAGATAAAATATAAATTTAATATAAATACTTTTGGAATATTAAAACTAATTAATGCTAAAAAACATGAACTAAATTACTATTTAAAATTTTGTTAAAAATGATACTAAATTTTGTTTTTAGAAATATTACAGCAAAATATTTAAATTCAGAATAATCTATAAAATAAGCTATTAATTAATGTCTTGTAGATATAGTTAAAAAAATCACATTTCCTAAAATGTAGATAAAATGGAATTTTGTTTCTCTGCAAAAAATTAAATTTTTTAATATATATATGTACAGAAGCTTAATAAGTGTACATAAATTTAATATTTTAACAACAAATATTATATCAAAAGCATATATATATATATATATGTTGTTACACATCTTGTATGTTTTGACAAATTTATCTTGTTGAAAATATGAGAACTTTCAGAAGAGGGGATGTCTTTCGTGAAGTACTTTCCAAAAACGTTTTCATACTTGCATTGCAAATGAAAAAAAGACTGGAATAAATTAAGCTTTAAAAGCAAATCAAGAGTTAGAAGAATGAGATTCATATTTTAATGCTTAAAAGTGTGCACTTTTTAAAGAAATGCCAAAGTTTGAATTTAAACATTTTTGAAAGAATACATGGCAGTGAAAAATTCAGCTCTAATTATTTCATTTTGTTGATGAATACCTTTAAAATATTTATAGATATATTTCATTTGCTACAGTAATCTGGTATTATTGTGCACCAACTTATTTTTAATTGTGGAAACATAATTTTCTTTTTCCTTTTTTAAAAATTTGTTTTTAACTGTTAAATAAATCTGTTATGCATATATTTCACAGAATAACACCAGAATCTGAAACCGGAAATCTTTACATGAGGCGAAATCGGCAAACCTCGATGCTGTCTTGTACGAGTAGTTCCAGCAGTGGCGGAGTGATGGGGTACCTATTTCAGGATTACTCCTGAGAGAAAAGGAGAAGCAAATTCATGCTGATTTAAAAATAGAGGAGACTAATGTAAATGAACAATATAATATAATCAGTTTATATATGTAATAATAATTTAATGCATATAATTAATTGTGTTAATGTATATAATAATTTAATTAAATGTATCTAATATGCCTTATTTATTTGCACTATTTAGTCTGAATATTATCTTTTCTGTCCTGAAATCCGCAAACTCCTAAAATCTGCTCAACCCAAGCGTTGTGGATTTCTGGACTTCTACTGTACTAGTAAAATGCAATACAATTTTGAGATTTAATGTTTTTGTTGTAAATAATAGCTGTTTATAATTCTAGCTTATTCATACTCAAAAATGATTGCTCTTTTTTTTTTTTTTTTTATTTGAAACAGCATTATAAAATTGAATGGTATTTTTTATGGATGATGTAATAATGTACCATTTAGTGAAAAACCAAGTTAGAAATTCTAAAAAATTACACTATTTTTTTTTAATATGCTTACTTGGTATAATTTATATTGCGAGCAATTTGAACAATCGTTAATAAAAAAGGTGCTTCACAGTACAGACCCAGTACAGTATCTTTAGTTATTTCTGCTGCACGTTTTTTTTCTGCAAATCTAACTATTCCTCGAATACTTATATTTTGTTTAGAATGCTTTAAAATATAAGTACACTGAACACTCCCCAACATAGTCACCAGTGGTTTCATATGACATTTTTCTTCTGGGTTAGTCGTCACTTTAGAGAGGTGGTGTGTTTTTTTTCTAATCAGAAATACCAGTCTTGTTCAGAAATGTTTGACATGAAAAGATTTGCTATATATGTATATGTATATATATATATTCTCTGAATTTATTATTTGCTATGTATGAGCTATTATAATTTAGTTACTCATAATCAAAAAGCATAGAATGTTTAGAACACTTTATATTCATGGAATAAAGAGTGGAATAAGACATAAAGGCATATTTCAAATAAAAATGAAAAATTATGCATATGGATGGATATTCCTGGAAATTTAAAAGTCGTCAAGATATAATTGATAACTTTTAGAACTGAATAAATAATTTAAATTTTTGTATGAAATATATAGTCATGTTAAATAAAAATGAATATAAAATATTTTCTTTAAATAACTTTGTTTTCATTTTAAAGCCTATGTATTTGATTTTAAGAAAGGAGTTAAAATTTGACAAGAAATTGGATTTTATGTACTTAGTCTTAAGGGGTTGCTAATTTTTATTTCTAATGTATAGGCTAGTCTTCCTGGAGCTAAATGTGGGATTATCCTCAAGGCTGATGCTAAACTTTCTGCCACTAGGTACAGCAGCTACCTTTTCTGAATTTTGCTGTGCTTTATGGTCACACCAATTACATTGATGCTAATGCTGTACTTGCATTCAGACATATGAATTGGAATTATGTTTGGTGAGCAGGTTTTTTTGTAATCTATTCTGAAATACGTATTTTAATGCAAAAAATTTAAACCTTGCCTGCATTTCACAGATTACAATGGTGAACATTAAATGAATTTGTTAGTCTAAATTTATAAGATTTTTCCTCAAGTGTTCTTAAAAGTCATTTCCATTAAAAATGAATATTTAAAATTACAGCAAATTTTCATCAGGTCTTTTTTTTTTTAAATATATCACTGAGGATAAAAAATATATAATGAATTTTTAAAAATTGAATTCATTTTCAGTTTCTTCATTTTTTAACTCCTTCGCACAAAAATTTTAAATCTAAGCTCTTGAACCTTCATTTTTGTTTCTTCCCAATGAAAAGCATGGGCAAATATAAAATATTAAATATATTATACAATGGAAATGAATGTTTTTGAAAAATAGTTGCATGTCTTTTAAAGCTGAGTTTTATTGTTTAAATGTATTTTCAGATATAATGATATTTCATAACTACATTCAATTTAAAAATACCATTTTTAAGCAGGTCTTAATCCAAATGGGCTCAAATTCATCTTCTGCACTTTGTCAGCTGTATCTCTTCACTAAAGAATTTAAATTCTCAAAACTACTTAATCAAGATAACTGTGCTTACTATTTTTAGATAAGTTGATGATATTTCAGACTTAATAATCATGAAAAAACTGGAAATATATATATATATATATATATGTGTCAGCCCCTCTTGCCTGATACTTAATGAGACAAACTAACAAGAGGAAAATGTTGATTACTTAGATTTCCATAGTTTGGACTACAAAAGAATCAAAATTTGTGATGAAAGGAAAGAATTTAATTTCAGTACCACTAAACTAATTAATTGGCACTCTAATATTTAAAAAAAAAAGTAATTTTAAATACTATTCACACTCAATTGCTTAGAATAAAAAATATCTGCAATATTTGCTTTTTTCCAGAACAAATTCAACTTTTGATAAATCAGCTGTTGGAAAAGGCAATTCCCAAAATTAAAATTTTCTAATCACTGAAAATAGTTCCTCTGCTAATAATTGAAATAAAAAATATTTATCAGAAAATATCATCAAAGCATGCTGCTGAAGATTTTAAAAATCAGTAAATGTTAAAATTAAACCTATGGAAATTCACATCTAAAAGTAGTAAGAGTTGCTTAGCAGTTCATATATCTCTATAGATTTTCGTATTTCTAAAAATTCCTGGTAGCAGTCAACAATAAAATGCCTAAAAAAACTGAATTTTGTGACCTTTATGTACATATTTACGCATAAAAGTATACTGGAAACAGAGTAAAATCAGCATTGGCTGCAGAGCGAACCATCACTTCCAAACTGTTCTTTTAAAGAAATACAATTCATAGGGAAACGTTTCATGGTTGCAGTCAATTCATATAAAATGATATTTCACACAAGTCACTGAATCTGTTTTTGAGACTCTCCACCTTGAGTTTTGTAGTTACCAGAACTCAACATCCTTTCAGTGTTGATACCTGCCAATTTTGTATGTTAATTGTCCATTTTGTAGTTTTGGTACAGGGGGACTTTTTGGTCTTCTCAACAGCTGCTGTATCCACATGGGAATCAGTCATTTCTATTGGAGAAAGTTTTTTACAGGACAAAATAAAGTATGAGGCTTGATTTTTGATTTCAGCTACTCATACAATTCTATCATTACCAGGATAAAGTTCTAGAACACTTCCAAGAGGCCAGTTTGTTCGATTTATGTTTTGTGTCCAGATAATGAAATCTCCAATTTACAAAGATTTCGTCTTTTTATGGTTTAAACTTTTTCTCGGTTGACCAAGATATTCTGCATGAAAACTGGTTCGTGGGTCTTTATGAATTTTCTGAATATAGAACGTATCGTGTTAACTTAAGGGGGGTCTATACTATCAATGTTGGGTACTCCTATTTCCCTGATTTCCTTCAAAAACATAGTAGGTAGGATTTGAGATCTTCAATATCATCTGCACCATAAGTCGAAGAATGTGAGTTTATTATGTTTTTAATAGTCCCAAAGTACTATTGACATTTCTCCTTAACTGAAAGATGTCCCCATTTATTATTATTATTTTTTTTAGAATCTGTCCAAGATTACAAAGCCACCAAATTATGGCACAGAGGGGGGGGGGAATAAATTTCCATTCAGTGGAAGATAAATTACTCTCAGTTTTTAATTTTTCAAAGTTAGTACCTTTGAATTGATTTTGCACTCCAATAACATTAGTTCTATGATCTGAGCTGATAGGTGACATCTACGTATGAATTGGTTCAGACCAAGTAGCTTTCTGTTTATATAGATGTCAAAAATTTTAGATGTACTCCTCTAAACATAGCACATGTTAGTTAGTATTAAGATAAGCTTTGTTTCCATATTTCAGTAAAGAGGACCAGTAAGATCCATTCCAATAATTTCAAAAACAGATGCATTTCTCATTCTTGTCTTCAGGTAAAACTGCTTCCACATTATAAACTGTTTTACAACATAATGATTTGAGGATATGATAAATTAAATCTGCTCCAATGAATAAATGAATCTCATTAGAATGTCTTTTAAATAAACAAGCTTTTCCATTTATGGCTATATCACTTACAAAGATATCTAGTTTCTTTAACTAACCCAGCACTTGAGAATTGTGAATTTTGGAATGGGGGTACAAATCTTTGTTTACTCCGTGAATTCAAACTTATTTTCGTAATTTCTATTGATGTTCATTAATTTAATCTGATACCTCTGATGCTTTTCAGACTGTTCTATGGCTCCATGCAGCCTATGATTAATAGTGTCTTTTCACAAGCTTTTAAAGCCCATACTTTGCATGACACATTTTGAAATATAACTTCTCTGAGACTTGCTGTCATAAAACACACAAAACATAATGCTCCAAGTTATTGTTTTTGGTGCGAACAATTTATATTTGTAAATAAACTTCATTTTTAAGTGGCTGGTGTGTAAGGACTGTATTTTCACCAAGTTCATTAACTATATTCTTAGATTTCTGTTTGTATTTAGAAAAACACATTAATGATGAATGTTTTTCTGAACAATGAACAGAAGTTAACAATACTTTTGCAAAAGCATGAAACATGCTTCTCAATTCCCCAAAATTTAAAACATGCTCCCCTTTTCATCAAAATTGGCTTTCCTTTCATCTAGAGAAATATTATGCACATAAACACCACAGTCTGTACTGAAATGTTCTGACGAATTACAAAATATACAATTAGTTTTCATTACATTGTATTTTAAATTTGTTGAAATTAATTCCGATGTAGAAGCAATCTCTGTGTTTATAAATTTATCATTCTTTGTGACTCCATATTTTTCAGAAGAATGGAAGTGAATGGACTGCCACCGAGAATCAGAAGAATGAATCATCATTATAGCTCGCTCACATGAATTGAAAATGTTGGAAATGTTTCTCATTACGTCTTCGACATCAGAATAAAATTTTTCATTTTCTCTTAATTCACATAAATTAGAATATCCTGTGGCAGGGTCTTTAAAATAGTACTGCATAAAGCAGTAGAAACATTTTCTGTAGATAAACCAGTACTTTTGAAATTTAAAGTCAATTGATACTATATTTAAAAGTTTCTGAAAGTACAAATTTAATGTTTCTATACTGAAAATATTACCCATATGAGGATGAATCAGTAACTCAGAATTTTCAAACCTTTTTTTCAATAACTCCAGAACAGATCCATGTAGAAACCAATATAGAAAATCCTACAGTATTTAACCTCTACATTATTAAACCACCCAAATTTGCCTTCAGATAATTAAATTTATTTTCTTTATCTAAAGAATCATTTTTATGAATTCCAGATTCAAAACTGTTCCAAAATGTCAGCCATCCATTAATATCACCAAAGAATTTAGGAATACTCCTTTTTGGTAGTTTAATAGACATAAGTTCTGTTTGTTTCAATATTGTGCATGTCTATGGAAAAGGATGAAAAAGAGCAATTATTTTTGTTAAAAAATTAATTCATATATTTTTATATGATGAACATTATTCACAAAAAAAAAAAAAAAAAAAAAAAAAAAAAAAAACTGGTCATATTGAAATATGTGTGACAAAATATTTTGATTTTTCTGGTTTATCTTTTGTCAGCAGTGAGAAGAATGATAAAATGACAAATATTTATACTGAGGAATTATAAGGAAATTTAACTATTCCATTCTGGAAAAGGGATAGAAATGTGAAGATGGGGAACAGTTGGAAAGTAGTAGTTTGAAAGCAACATTCAGACATGATTCTATACATTTTAAATATGTGTGTAATCTATACCAGTTTTGGCATTATTTTCTTTCACGCCTCTTGACATTATTAGATTTTGTGTATGTATCAAATTTCTTTCATTACTTCATTTAAATACTTTTTTCTACTCTGTATGCTTCATTCTTAATAACGGCCAAGATTATGTGTATTTCAATGCAGTTGATTCTCACCTAGGGAAATTTCACTGAAAAACCTAAGAAATCTGAAGAGGATTTATTTGCTATTATGGAACAAAAAAATGCATTCATGAATTGTTTTCTCAATTGCTTACTGAAAGGTGCATTATTTGGTTTTGCAATTTTCAGCATTTTATCATATAAATTATTGGTAGTAGCCTTTTTCTTATGGTATTTCAGATTATTCACAGAAATGGTGTACTTGTGGATAGTTGGGGAAGGGTATCCTGTTTCTTTTTGAAAGTCCACTGCATTCATTTTTAAATTCCTTTTCAAATTGTGATTGCCTTATAGAGACCAAAAAAGTTTAAACATTGTGAATATTAAAACTAAACTATCATTTGCAAGCACCGCAGTACTGTTAACTAATAGAAGATTCAAGCTAGAATTTTATCTTTCGATATGTTGGAATACAATGCAGAACTTCTGCAGTGAGAAAGAAAAATATTTTTCATTAACAAATGTTGGAATGATTGTGAACAGGAATTTAATAATCTGAAGGCATTTTCTACATTGGAAACAATATCTGGTATACTAATTTAGTAATTTTCTGACATCTAGAATAATAACTGTTCTCTCTTTTCAGCTTGCTTATTGCAATTTTTTGATATCCTTCAGGCTATTCCATATGCTTTGATGTTAAAAGAAGGGTTTTTATGTGTTTAAGTAATATAATTTTCTTAATAAAGTGTACTTTGTTTCCTAAAATATCTCTGCTATAGTGCTGTTGTTCATTATCTTTGAAATGTTTTATATGAACTAAATGAATTGGATATTAGGAAGCTTAAATTTTAAGTCACAGAGCATAAGATGTAACTTTTACATAAAATCAGTCTGTTGAATAAATTTGAAGTTCTCAGATAAGGGGAAAACAAATTAGCTAAGATGTGAAACTTATTCATGAACTTTGTAGTTCATATAAAGCGATTATTAGATTCATGATCCATTTTTTATATGCATTCTATATAATGTTCTAATTATTTTGAGTTAACTGTAATATTTTAACTATCTTATCTTTATAAAATCTTTCTCTGTAATAACGATTTTAATTATTAAAATCCATTTAAAAAGTAGTGATTGATAAAAATAGTGTTCCATTGCTAAAATTTACTGGACTGTAGACTTACTATCATACACCATCAGTAGAATTTAAATCAGACTCAAAATTATTGACTACATTTCATTACTTTTTCTTCTTACAGATGTTTCATAGACTGAAGAATGGTGACTCATCAAACACAGGAAAAAACTCAAATTCCAGCTTGCTACAGCAGAGCACACCTCAAAAGAACATCCATGCATCTGTAACTCTAGTAACTACCAACTGAAGCTTCAAGTGAATGCTAAGAAAACTAACTAATTGCATTTGCATGCTGCTCAGCTCAGTGAATAAAAACACAATTTATATAATATAAAATAATACGAATGTAATTTTTTCTTATGATATTATCTACTTATTTTCTTGTGTAAAGGAATGAAAAAGCCTCCTAAGTAACATTACTGATGTAATAGGTAATGCTAAAGAAAGAATTTACAAAATTATTTCCACAATGGGCTATTTTATTTGAACCAATGATTATGGGTGAAAGTGGATTCATGCTGGAATAATGTTTTAGTTATGAATTAGCAAAGTTATAAATATTGATTTATGAAGATGAATAAATGATTTCCATTTATGATGATAAACAGTCAGTTAATCAGGTTTAGTTTTCATTTAGAATTCCAGACAAGTTAGTAGCAAAGCTGCTTGTCTGAAATTCTATATTATCTAAAGCAAACATATAATTTTAGTTCCTTGTAAGTGGTATGGCTATTAAATAGTTGGACCAGGGAGAAAGAGCTAAAAAGAGTGGCAATGTAGTTATTGATAAAGCAAATTAATAGCGACAAAAGAAGTGCGAAAAATTGAAAAAAAGTTAATGATTTGCATATATGGTTCTATAGGCCATTCAAAGAAAACATTTTTATACTGAAATACAGCTTTCATAATGTGTTAAGCAAAGCAAGCTTTGCCCAAGGCAACATATTCAGTAGGGCAGGATTGAACACAGCTCCATCATCCATGAGAACAAAAATGGAACATGAGTGATCACATCTTTTATTTAATATCGGTAGAGAGATATGGTCTGAAATGATTGGCAGAAAGTTGATTAGATTAGTGGCAATGCGTATGTTTGAATGAATGTTTTATTAAGGTAATTTACATAAAAAGGTGCATGAGGCTAAAGATTTAAGTAAGCAGACAAAACTATATTTTTTTCTCCATTTTTATCTGCAGGAATTAATTTCAGAGGAATAGCATTTGGTAATACACCAGCAGCTGCATCAGTACTGGTCACAGCTTTAAATGCTTGATATTTAATATGGGAAAAACAATATACATAGTTTATGGATGTGGATGTCTGTGAAAGGAATTCTAAAACATACTCTTGGAACTATCATTTTTAACACTTACATCAATAAGAATAAAAAATTATTAATGAAAATTTAATCAAAATTTATCCAGATTTCTTTAGTGTTTTGCAAATATTACCGAGAACTTCGTGTAAGTGTTTCTGTTACAAAGAGAAATTTTTTGAGGCCAAAGGTAATTAAAAATCTTAATAATTATTTTCAAGCAGTGATAAATTAGAATATTGAGTACTGAGCAATTATTTCAACAGGAAACAATAATACTCCTACTATATTGGTAAGAGTATGTCACCTAATTTATTATAGAAGAAAGTGAGAAAAGTATCAATGTGTGAAAATTTGTTGATAGTTTTTATTGACATATTACATGTAACTCAGAAATTATTGATAATCTTAAACTCAAAAGTCTTATGAAACAAGGTATTTTCATTACATAAAGAATGACAAGTGCTTGGAACACATTATCTAGAACAGTGTTTCTCAACCTGATATACTGGTAAAGTAAATTTTAATGTTTTATAGCATACAGTAAGGTTAGTAATTTGGACTAATGGCATAATCTTTACACATACACAAAATTGTGGAACTTAAAATTGGAAGGACTAATGAATAGTGTTTGTAGACCGGCAGTTGAGAAACACTGATTTAGAATATCAAACAGTCAATATTGAAAACAAATTATAAATTTTCTCTCCCATTAGTATTTTTCTGGAATAGAAAAACAGCATTATTAAAATGAATAAAAAGGAATTTCACAAATCAAAGTTCCTAATCTTCAGAATAAATATCCAGAACTTTTCTTGTAACATCCACGTACTTAAAAATCAATTTATCATCACCTGTGTAAATAAAGCTAGTCATAATTTTAGCATCATTTGAAGGACATTCTATTATGAACTTGATGAAACAGAGCTTAATATTACCTGCAAAGCTTTCAGTTACAATGAAAGAAACCATTATTTAAAAATTTCTAATAAGACTTTGTAAGACATTTCCCAATCTTTATGGCCTTCCAAAATTTCATAAAACAGCAATTAAATTCAGGTTTATTGCCAGTGGTACTAAAAATTGCAAAAAGAACATAGACTTTATTTTTGAATAAATTAACAAAAGAAATTGTTCCAGCATGTTCATGATTCCAATTAATCACCTTACCAGTACTGGATTACTAAAATAATAAAAAAATCAAAACTGTTAAAAGTTATTACATTTATGATATTAATAGTTCTGATTTTTAAAATCTGATTTATAATATTTATTCTTATCCAACCTTGCAAATTATTTTCAGCATTCAAAAACATCCTTAATTTTGGTAAATAGATTACCTATCCTTAAATGTTCACTTTTTAATACTTTCATCAAATTTAAAAATAAAATTATTCTGCAAATTAACAATATTTCCCCCTATGGGCACACATTTTTTTTACTTCTATTTACAGTTTTTTCTTTTTGCACATGAACTGAATTTTATGAAAAATTGTGATCAAATTTACAAATTTAATCTTACTTTTAGATATATTGATTACCTTATCTTTTTTAATAATTCTGGGTTAATTGAAACAGCTAATATTTATCTTAAATATTAGCTGTTTCAATTAACCCAGAATTATTTACCATCATTATACTTACACTAAATACAAGGTTGTTTTTACGATTTTAATTTATCTTAAATGTTTAAAACAAAACTAATTCCAGTAAATATGAAGTTCATTTCTTTGGCCTTCAAATTCTCATCTGTAAAGAAATTAAACTTTATCTTTGTTACCATTAAATGCAAAGATTGGAATTCCAGTATATCGAAAAAAATTACTGCTAACACCATTATGAAACAGATTCTAAGAATTAAAATATTTGCACTACAGCTGAAAGACATTAATAAAAAAGATTTATCTCGATATCACACATATTAATAATCAAACTCTCAGTTTTATTAACTTTGCTAAAAATTACACATTGGATCATTTTAAGTGTATTATATTTATTTTTACTTGTGATAAGACTCACTTACACAAAGTTTGGAGGTATTTACTGGATGCATAATAATTGTAAATATATTTTTTAATTTGTAAATAGTCTCTCTATCTCTGTTACTAACAAATGGTTATTTCTATTCCAGTCGTGTCATATGGCAAATAGGTGAACTTTTTACTGTTAACTCACTCTCTGCCTTTTCAAACTTTTTCTACTCCCCATAACCCATTCTGCTCAAAGTTCCTTTTTACTACTTCCTTTCCTCCTAGATTTTTTACATACACTTTTAACAAATTTAATGCAATTAATAACTACTCTTAATTAAATTAATTTTAAAATTTCTTTCGGAACTTCTACATTCTAAATGTAAAATATATTTTAAAAATTAGTGACAATATTATGCTACATTTTCGTTTTTCAGCTTTACAAACTAAATTTTTGCACTGTAACTCATTTCCTGCATTTTATTATTTGTGTTTCTGTTTCTTGGCTGCAGCTTAAGTCTGAGATAAATTCTTGAGCTTAACTCTTTGAGATAAATTCTTGAGGGTTAGCTACATGGATTGTTTGCTTCATTCAGATTTTCCTTTTTTTTTTTTAAATTTTCCTTTTTGAATTTCATTCTTATTAATTCAAATTGTTTTATTTACTCAGGTTTCCATAAATAGTAATCAGTCCATACACTTATCAGATTAAAAGAGGTATATTCAAATAAGTATAATTAAAAAAGAACAATAAAGAACGATTAAAAATCTCTAAAAATAAATAACGTCTTTTACAAAAAGAATTACAAAAAAAGCATAAAGACCAAATACTTGCCAGAACAAATTCTTTTCTAGCAAATTTAAACAAATTTTAATTCTAGCAATTGTAATTTTATATTTTAAAAATTGTGGCTGTGGCTACTACTGAATGGCTATTCTTGGCTAAAAATGAACTTCTTAAATAAGTGGCAGTGTTAAATTAAGGTAAAAATGTGCTTTTACTGTGCAAAGTGTTGTAGAATTTGAAGCGGATCTGCCATCGATGGCTTAAATTCTCTACTTGTTTCATTTAGGTGAAATTAGTAACCAGACAAGATTTTTTACTTGTTTGAAAAACACTAAGGTTGCCTGAGAAGAATTTTTTTTTTTTTCTTTTATCTTTGGCACAAAAATTATTAAGTTTAAATTCATTTTTTCACTCAAAAAGTTTAAATGTATAATAATCGATTATTTGTAAATCAAAATACTAAATTTCTTTTTGACTGGTATTGGTTTTATTTAGTACTAAGCAAGTTGATTTAAATTTGGGAGTCATCAAGTGTCTCAAAGTTATTAATTGCATTTATGTTATCAATGTACTTATAAATATGAGGAAAAAAATTTAATTATTCAATGTCAATTGATATTTGGAACTGAAATTCCTTGGAAAATAAGTAAAGATTGCAAATTTGTGTGGTTTAACCCTTACAGTCCTGTTAATTTGCTGAAAAATGCTGTCTTTAATCCGAAATTTCGGATTGCAGCGTGAAAAAATGTGACAAACATGTTGGCATTCAAAGCAGTAATTGGTTCAAGAATAGTCAGTCGTCTGCCATTTACTATAGCAGTCAGATTTATATACTGCTAGAATAAAGAATTAACGAGTGGTTTCCCATTGCTTAAAATCTGCTTTCCTAAAACGATTGTTATGAAATTTCGACCGGGACAAAGGAACAAATACAAATATATACATACAAAATATATTTGTATGTAGTTTTATAAAAAATTGTTTTTTTGGATACATAGCTAACTAATATTCACCTAACAATGTGTGATATGAAATAAATGACTTTCTCTGATTGGAAATTAGTTCTTTTTCCTTTTAAAAAAATTGCAAAATTGCGCCAAGGTGGTTGCGATAATACCAAAGTATCAAATTTCATTTTACAAGATCTTTCCAAATATATACGAAAACGATAGAAAACTGAATATTGTTCATTTTTCCAAATCCAGAATCTTAAACATTTTCAAAATATGAATATGGCTTGAAAAATACTATAAAAATTTAAAA